CCATCGATGGATATCTGGGAAACCGCCCGAAGGATTTTTTTGAAATTGTGATGGCGTGATACGGACTGTGGAGCCTACCAAGCTAAAATATTTTCAAGGTCATCGTATTTCCGGTTATACCGGAAGTTGATACTAACTTTCTTATTTTAAATGGAACCCCCTGTATATTATTGCAAAAAAATTAGGGTTTCCATTTAAAAATTTCTAGTTTGCCACATATTCTGAACTTCATATTTTGAACTTCATATTCGATATTTTTTTTTGACCACCCTGTATAAAAACTGGAAAATTTTCATGTCAAATTCGATAAAGTAGGCCTTTCTCTACAAAATGTCCAATTTGCACAAAAAAATAAACCGGGAAAACTAAATTTTGCTGACAGTCTGCAGCTGTCAATTTTTGTTTAAAAATGGAAATATCTCTCGAAATATGTTTTCAACTTAATGATGTTTCCAAAAATGCAATAATATACAGGTGGTTCAATTTAAAATAAGAAAGCTAGTATCGACTTCCGGTCTATTGAAAATATTTTAACTTGGTGGGCCCCACGGTCCGTATCACACCATCACAATTTCATAAAAATCCTTAGAGCGGTTTCCCAGATATCCATCGATGGAGTTCGAGGTGGGACACTCTGTAGACACTTTTTTCCAAGGACTTCAGTATAAACCAGCCATAACTAAGAATAAAGAAATCTTCTCTAAACATGTTGGTTGGTTATTGAAAAAATGTGTTCTGACTTCCTCGCGACAACTAGTGGAAAAGGACCGAAAACAAAAACAAAACTCGAACAAAATGTAGCCCGCCGTGTGCCAAAAAATCTCTATTGGTTGGCCTAAAACGAAGCGATTGCGGATATACAGGGTAGGAAAGTACCGATGTCTATCTGAAGTTACGTGAGAGCGATAAAGTAAGCCATAGAAATCCATGTGATAGACAAGAATGGGTATAGTGAAGGCTTCTAATAGTCACCGCCCATTTCGCCCTTCCACAAATAAGAAGTGGATCTGTAGGTAAACTAACCTATTTTGGGTCAAGATATCCGCCTTTCCAATGTACACAATACTTAAGGGACACAATGTACATTCCACCAATTTTACGCACCTTTTTATTATATTTAACTTCACTTTTGAATAATAAATTGTTTTTTTTGTTCCCACCCACCTTTGGCTTTGGCTTCTTTGTACAATTGGGTGGTCCTGTCGCCGAAGCTTTCTGGGTTTCCACCGAAAAAGGGATTGGGCAAGTTCCCGAATGGAAAGGAGGGTTCGATGTACGGGATGTTCTTCCGGCTCCAGTACGAGTATTTCCATTTTATATAGGCGTATCCCACGGCTAGCAGCGTGGATATTACTGCTAGGACGTCCAAAAAGGAACAATGACAAGCCATCTTTCTAAAAATGAAGAAAATTTTATATATGTGAAATCTATCTTGGGCGGGTGTGGCAAATCCTCACGTTCTTATAATGGCATTTAATTCTCAAATGTGGTATATGATATGTCCAACAGTTGTAGTTTTTTTTTCACGAAAAATATTTGAGATATTTTAAAAAGTCAAGCAGTCAGGTATTGGTTGTCATGGGTTCTTTCAAGAAAAGAAATCAACGAATTTCTTGGGACGCACCAAGTGATATTTTTTTTATTGACAAAGGTTGACATTTATATTAAATTGCAGCCACTGTAATTTGATCCTGTTCTACTGCTAATTACTTACAATCATTTCTGCGATTAAATTATTACAACGTTTAAATATACAGAAGGTACAAAATGGATGCTTAAAATCAAGCAGCCATGCTTTGATAGCCAAAAAGAAACACTTGCTGTCTACTCCAGTCGGCAGAGGCCGAAAAGTTACTGTTGGTGACATTTTCTTGATAACTCGGAAATAACTACATAGGTCTACTTTAAATGATGAGTATAACAACAGGCTAATTTGCTGACAAAATATTTTATCAGGAAAAAAAGTTATTAACAATTTAATCGTGAAAAAAATTTTTTTAAGTAGTTTTCTTTAAATAACTCAGGGGTGACTTTGTACGAAAAAATGCTTAGGACATGATTTTGTTCATAATAAAAATAGCTACAAAATGGTGGTGGTCCGGTTACGAAATTTGCAATAACAAAGCCGTGAGATTGAAAAAACTGTTTAAAACGCCAATTTTTTTAAGTTGCTGAAAAAATGTCAATTATAAACAAAAAGTGATAAAACTTTCGAAAACTATAGTTCAATATATATGCAATAATGACGCTAAAGCCGAAAATCAGGAGAGCAAAACTTTTTGTTCTATAAGGTGTTATACATTCATCGGCATCTGAAACTCGAAACTTTGCCAAATTTGTTCGAAGCTTTGCTGACACTTGAAATTTGGTACACACATAGTGTAAATATGCAGAAACCAAAAGCAATTTGCAAAATTCAAGTATCTTCATTTTTGCAGTTTTGGTAAGGTTTTATACGTCACCCTAGTTTTATACGTCACCGTTTTTTTAATTTTTGGACGTATATTTATGTATATTTATAAAATATTCCATTACGGTAGATTAGCCAGCATAATTACCTACAATTTAAAAAAATATATATTTTCATCGTTTAGATCCTAAGCTACTTAACATTTTGCGCCTGTTAGCCGTAGTCGTACATTATTCAACATATTAACATAAAACAAAATCGTACGTGTGGGGTAAACCTTTAACTTTAAGTAAACAATTGTTTAAATTTACTGTTGCATATTTCTAATAGTATACAAGCGCCGAAGAGCGGAGCTCGCGCTCGAAAATGAAAAGTTAAAGGTTTACCCCACACGTACGATTTTGTTTTATGTTAATATGTTGAATAATGTACGACTACGGCTAACAGGCGCAAAATGTTAAGTAGCTTAGGATCTAAACGATGAAAATATATATTTTTTTAAATTGTAGGTAATTATGCTGGCTAATCTACCGTAATGGAATATTTTATAAATATACATAAATATACGTCCAAAAATTAAAAAAACGGTGACGTATAAAACTAGGGTGACGTATAAAACCTTACCAAAACTGCAAAAATGAAGATACTTGAATTTTGCAAATTGCTTTTGGTTTCTGCATATTTACACTATGTGTGTACCAAATTTCAAGTGTCAGCAAAGCTTCGAACAAATTTGGCAAAGTTTCGAGTTTCAGATGCCGATGAATGTATAACACCTTATAGAACAAAAAGTTTTGCTCTCCTGATTTTCGGCTTTAGCGTCATTATTGTATATATATTGAATTATAGTTTTCGAAAGTTTTATCACTTTTTGTTTATAATCGACATTTTTACAGCAACTTAAAAAAATTGGAGTTTTATACCGTTTTTTCAATCTCACGGCTTTGTTATTGCAAATTTCGTAATCGGACCAACGCCATTTTGTAGCTATTTTTATTTAGAACAAAATCATGTCCTAAGCATTTTTTCGTACAAGATCATCCTGCTGAGTTATTTAAAGAAAACTACCAAAAAAATTTTTTTTTTACAGTTAAATTGTTAATAACTTTTTTTCCTGATAAAATACTTTGTCAGCAAATTAGCCAGTTATTGTACTCATCATTTAAAGTAGACCTGTGTAGTTATTTCCGGGTTATCAAGGTTTGACACACGCCGAACCTCTGCCAACTGGACTAGTCTACTCCAGTCGAATTAGTGTTTGAACGTACAAAAATTATTAGTAGACATTTCACTTTTCCTACTGCCTATGAAAATCTAGACGAGCTGTCGGAATATTAATTATTTTATGTTGTAGGCAATTAAATTACCTGCAATTCAATGTACCTAAAGTCATATTTCACCAATTTTTTAACCGTAAAATAAAGGTCGAACGCGCAAAAATCAGTTTTCGAAAATTGCGCATTATTATTGCAAAAATCTTGAGAACAAAGAGGCGTTTCTCTTTTTTTTAAATTACCGTAAAAATATATGCTACATACAGGGTGTTCTGAAAGTCCATCAGGAAACTCCGGGAGGTGATTCTAGGGATTAAAATAATAGTAGTATGTAGTGAATTTCTTTTTCATTTAAGGTCTAATAATGTCTCATTTGGTACACCTACTAAGTAGATGAATCTCTATTGGACTAGTCCGAGAAAAGTTACATTATGCGCCGGTAGAGGGCACTTTACCTAGAACTCAAAATTTGTTTTGTTCAAAACTTTTTACTCTTGCTAGACATCACAATTTAAACATTATTGAAAAGAGAAACAATATCACAAAAAATTATGTACTCTTTATTCAAGCTGATAAATGTAACTGTTTAGCAGGAAATCGCTATTAAAGTGTTATTAAACATAAAATTTTTGTAAATACTTTCTGCAGTTAATCAATTTGCCACGCATAATTTTTTTTATATTCAGGTTTTATGATCTAATTCGACTGGAGTATTCATTAAAAATCATTCATTAATTTTATAAATTTCATTGGTGGTAAAATACCACAAATAAAGAAAAATATATGAGTAATAATAAATGAGCAATACTTGGTTATTATACCTATATTAAATTGACTCAATTTTTAGAAATTACCAACATTTGAATCAATAATACTTCAAAAAATGTTATTGTATAGCTTACGCTAATGACGAATATGTCCAATGTTTTTACACCTCTGCTTCGTCAACTAGCATCTTTGAATATTCACCTGTTTCTGTTAATGAAATTGAAAGTTTGATTTATAAACAAAAACCGCATAATACCGGGTTTGATGGTATTTCTGGTAGTATGTTGCAAATATGTACGCCTGTGATTTCCTTTCCTCTAACACATATAATTAATTATTCTTTTGAAACTGGAATTGTTCCATATCAATGGAAAACATCAATTGTTACCCCTATTCCTAAGAAATCGCAAGCTAAAGAATTTGCAGATTTACGACCTATTAGTTTGTTGTCAGTTCCCCTTAAAATTGCGGAACGGGTTATTTATAATCAGCTCATCATTCACTTTAATTCTAATAATGTTCTACCTTCTAACCAATCAGGATTTCGTAAAAATTTTAGTACAGGAACAGTACTTGCGGCTGTGGTTGATGATGCTTTACGAGCTATCGACTCTTCTAAGGTTTTAAGCCTCACGCTTTTAGATATGTCGAAAGCATTTGATTCAATAGATTTTAGCTGCCTATTGGCCAAACTCTTTTTTTATGGAATTCATAATAAATGTCATGATTGGTTTGATTCCTATATTAAAGACAGAATGCAACTTATTAGAATTAAAACTGAAAACGGTTCTTTATTTTCTGAACCTAGAATAATAAAATCTGGAGTGCCACAAGGTTCTGTCCTGGGGCCTTTACTTTTTAGTATATGTACTGCGGACTTTGTGTCGTCAGTAGTGCATACTACTTTGCACATGTATGCAGATGACTTACAAATTTTGTACAGCTTTGAAATTGACAATAAACAAACTGCTGTTGATCTTATTAATTCTGACTTGCATCGGATTAAGGAGTTATGCGATAAAAATGCTCTAATGCTTAACCCAAATAAATGTAAAAACCTGGTTATCGGTACTTATCAAAAAACTAGACAGTTGGGGGATTTTGCTGTTTATATTGACAATTGTCCTTTGGAAAACTGTAGTTCAGTAAAGAATCTGGGTCTTGTATTTGATAATGACCTGAAATTCTCACAACATGTTAGTGAATTATGTAAGAAGGCGTTCATCTCCTTTAAGCAAATAGCGCCTTTAAAACGTTATTTGAGCTCTGACATTAAATTAGTATTGGTCGAATCCTNTCTTTTTTTTAATGCTTCTGATATTGTTTTGTGATATTTTTATTTGTACGATGAATGGCAAAATTCGTAATCCATATTAGAAACTTTTTTCAGTGGCTTCTCAAAAAGAAAGAAATTCTTAGTAAAAGTTGCCGCATCCCCAAACTAGAAGAGCATATTTATTTTTTTTAATATACAATGTAACTTTTTTTAGTTCGAATTAAGTCATTCACAATACAAATAAAAATATCACAAAGGAGTATTAGAGATATTTAAAAAAATACTCACACTATTTATACTATTTCAAAAACGCTTTTGAAATGAAAATGATCTAAAGTTGAGAGCATTATGAGAACAATATGGTAATCAAATTATTATGTTACTCAAACATTTCTGAAAATATACTGAAACGTAAAACAAAAATATCGAGGGCATAAATGGAACATAAAAAGAATGTTACTGAAACCAATTTTTTGAAAGGTTTAATTGGAAACGTATTTTGGGAGGACATCTTGGGCTTCTAGAAAGTTGCCAGAACGTTGCATGGATTTTTATGAAACGTTTCAAGAAAAATGGAAACCTTTCTGAAACATGTCAGAAACTGAAAAATGTTTTGTTCATAACTTTTTACTCTTGCTAGACATCATAGTTTAAACATTATTGAAAAGAGAAACAATATCACAAAAAATTATGTACTCTTTATTCAAGCTGATAAATGTAACTGTTTAGCAGGAAATCGCTATTAAAGTGTTATTAAACATAAAATTTTTGTAAAACTTTCTGCAGTTAATCAATTTGCCATGCATAATNGTTCTGAAAGTCCATCAGGAAACTCCGGGAGGTGATTCTAGGGATTAAAATAATAGTAGTATGTAGTGAATTTCTTTTTCATTTAAGGTCTAATAATGTCTCATTTGGTACACCTACTAAGTAGATGAATCTCTATTGGACTAGTCCGAGAAAAGTTACATTATGCGCCGGTAGAGGGCACTTTACCTAGAACTCAAAATTTGTTTTGTTCAAAACTTTTTACTCTTGCTAGACATCACAATTTAAACATTATTGAAAAGAGAAACAATATCACAAAAAATTATGTACTCTTTATTCAAGCTGATAAATGTAACTGTTTAGCAGGAAATCGCTATTAAAGTGTTATTAAACATAAAATTTTTGTAAATACTTTCTGCAGTTAATCAATTTGCCACGCATAANTTTAAACATTATTGAAAAGAGAAACAATATCACAAAAAATTATGTACTCTTTATTCAAGCTGATAAATGTAACTGTTTAGCAGGAAATCGCTATTAAAGTGTTATTAAACATAAAATTTTTGTAAAACTTTCTGCAGTTAATCAATTTGCCATGCATAATTTTTTTTATATTCAGGTTTTATGATCTAATTCGACTGGAGTATTCATTAAAAATCATTCATTAATTTTATAAATTTCATTGGTGGTAAAATACCACAAATAAAGAAAAATAAATGAGTAATAATAAATGAGCAATACTTGGTTATTATACCTATATTAAATTGACTCAATTTTTAGAAATTACCAACATTTGAATCAATAATACTTCAAAAAATGTTATTGTATAGCTTACGCTAATGACGAATATGTCCAATGTTTTTACACCTCTGCTTCGTCAACTAGCATCTTTGAATATTCACCTGTTTCTGTTAATGAAATTGAAAGTTTGATTTATAAACAAAAACCGCATAATACCGGGTTTGATGGTATTTCTGGTAGTATGTTGCAAATATGTACGCCTGTGATTTCCTTTCCTCTAACACATATAATTAATTATTCTTTTGAAACTGGAATTGTTCCATATCAATGGAAAACATCAATTGTTACCCCTATTCCTAAGAAATCGCAAGCTAAAGAATTTGCAGATTTACGACCTATTAGTTTGTTGTCAGTTCCCCTTAAAATTGCGGAACGGGTTATTTATAATCAGCTCATCATTCACTTTAATTCTAATAATGTTCTACCTTCTAACCAATCAGGATTTCGTAAAAATTTTAGTACAGGAACAGTACTTGCGGCTGTGGTTGATGATGCTTTACGAGCTATCGACTCTTCTAAGGTTTTAAGCCTCACGCTTTTAGATATGTCGAAAGCATTTGATTCAATAGATTTTAGCTGCCTATTGGCCAAACTCTTTTTTTATGGAATTCATAATAAATGTCATGATTGGTTTGATTCCTATATTAAAGACAGAATGCAACTTATTAGAATTAAAACTGAAAACGGTTCTTTATTTTCTGAACCTAGAATAATAAAATCTGGAGTGCCACAAGGTTCTGTCCTGGGGCCTTTACTTTTTAGTATATGTACTGCGGACTTTGTGTCGTCAGTAGTGCATACTACTTTGCACATGTATGCAGATGACTTACAAATTTTGTACAGCTTTGAAATTGACAATAAACAAACTGCTGTTGATCTTATTAATTCTGACTTGCATCGGATTAAGGAGTTATGCGATAAAAATGCTCTAATGCTTAACCCAAATAAATGTAAAAACCTGGTTATCGGTACTTATCAAAAAACTAGACAGTTGGGGGATTTTGCTGTTTATATTGACAATTGTCCTTTGGAAAACTGTAGTTCAGTAAAGAATCTGGGTCTTGTATTTGATAATGACCTGAAATTCTCACAACATGTTAGTGAATTATGTAAGAAGGCGTTCATCTCCTTTAAGCAAATAGCGCCTTTAAAACGTTATTTGAGCTCTGACATTAAATTAGTATTGGTCGAATCCTTAGTTCTGTCTCATCTAAATTACTGTGATTATGTTTATGGTCCTTTACTTACAAATGCTGATAAATTTAAACTGCAAAAAATTCAAAATTGGTGCATGCGTTTTGTCACATATATACCCTTTCTTCACCATGTTACTCCCTTTATTAGACAGTTCGGTAAATTAAGACTCAGTGAAAGACGTTATGTTCATTTTTGTGTTTTTGTAAATAAGATACTGTGTAATACAACTCCTGACTATCTTTATGAGAAGTTGGTTTGGCGACATGATGTACATGATCGTCAGCTTCGTAATTTACACGATTTGCAAATAATGCGTCATCGAACTGAATATTTTAGATGTTCATTTACCTATTTAGCAGGTATGATATTAAATAATGTACTGGTGCCTCAAGACTTAACACTCCGTAATGCAGCTCTGATTAAGAAACGCATTCGTGAGTTGGTCATGGAAAACGATAACTCCACGAATGCTGCTGTTTTTTAGTTTTAGCTTTTTAATTTTTGACTTAATATTAGTATTAATATAATATGCGTGTGTGTGCGAGTGTGAGTCTGACTATACTACGTATTTGTATGTGTATTGCACAAGCATGTATGAGTGTTGTGTATGTATATGTAAGTTATACTGTTTTTTTCATTGTTTTAATAACACTTTATAATTTATTTATATTATTGCTTTTAATATGTGTAAGTTACTTGACTTTCTGAGGGGTAGGCTAATTATCAGTTATCTGTGTCTAGTCCTTTTGTGTATAGGTTGTATATTGTCTTATAACTATGCACAATAAATATTTTTTTACCTTTTACCTTTACCTTTACCTTTACTATTGCTTTCGTGAATATTATTCAGTTAGTAACGTTATTGTATGAGGTAATAACGAACATTCACAATATTTTATCTTTTATATTGTGTTGGTAAGCCCATATTTATCAAAACGTATACATATTTATCATAATATCTAGGTACACAAAAGCCTTGAGATGTAAGAGATCTGAAGATGATTGTTAAGACTGATAAAAGACTGCAAATCATTTTTGACGTAAAAGATTATGAACGTTTAATATAATTAATTATAATTTAATATAATAATTATATTAGGTACATGCATCACTTGATTATTAAACCATCAGCAAATTTTTATGTAAATAAAAGAGTCTCGCTTTGGGAAATTAGAAATAGAACTGTTTAACATCATCACATTTTCTCACTAGGTTAAATAATTCTAATTGTCATTAAATTGATTAAGGATTGTTTATTTACTTTCTTTAATCGACGTATTATTCACAATATTGATAAATATGTAATACAGACCCTGAAGGAGATAGCAAAATAATCTGTAAAATACGTAACTTATTACGTATTTGATAAATATTTTCTCTATTACTCAAAAAATGTCAAAAAAGTCAAAATGTACATAAGTATCTAATAGTAATATAAAAAAATATATAAACATTTTTTATCAAATATTTACAATAAAAAATATTTCAAAATACATACCTAATTCTGTGGATATACTTGCTACAAACGGTAGAACCAATAACACTTGGAAATATTACGATCTATACTTTATTATAAATAACGTTTATAATTTCCTCACAGGATAGTACACGACAAACTCTATGAAATGCAAATCAAAACAGTGATAACTGTATTGTCAAACTAAATGTACCTAGCCTATCTATTTATACAACAGCACTTAAACTGATAAATACGCAACGGTTGTTATCGAGATAAACAGTAGGTATCATTTCTAAATTTAAAAATTAATGTGAATTTGATCGGGCATCGATAACGATTCGCAGATAATTTTGCAGTGACGACTTTTTTGCTACATACATATATTCTAAAATAATGGGATGTTACTCATAAAATCTGTACGATGACGTCACAGTTCGAATGGTACAGTGTTGCCAATTTGTAAATGTTTTTTCGTGATATTTAAGAAATTTAATTATGAATTAGGCCAGGAAAAATAGCTGGGAAATTTCGCCATTCCGCGACTTTTTGTTTCGGCAAGCTCAATTTATCACTATAGGTGCTAAATATTATAAATAAACTTCTTGTGTTTATAACTTTTGATCTAATCAATATTTTTTGACGCTCGAGGGCTAGTTTTGTAGGTCTTTTGAAGACGAAAAAAAGAGTACTTTACTGTTTTCTCGTGAAAATGAACGGAAAATAGTTATAAGCGAAAAACGTAATTTTACGTAAAAATCATACAATTAACCACCTTGTAAACAATCTTCCCCCCATTTTTATGACTGTGGAAACTATTATGTTGTTGTACATAATATGTATTTAACATCTATAGTGTCATGTATAAATTCAGCTTGCCGAAACAAAAAGTCGCGAAATAGTCATTTCCCAGATTATTTTCCTGGCCTATAGTACAAATGCCTAGAACCGACCCTGATCTGGCGTCGTGATTGATAAAGATCTGTTTGAACTTCAGTCAGATATGAAAGTGTTTGATAATAAATAAATATCCTTATCAATGTTATCATAGAAGCAAGTCTGCAATTCATTGTTACGTCTCCCGTGATTCATATTTGATTTTGAATATATACCAGAACAGCTCGGTTTTCGGCATTATTTTGGTTAAAAAGAAAAAAAAAAAAAATAGCAGCACTACTTCCTAGTAAGAAAAAGTGAGTACCTGCTTATTATGTGTTTGTTCCAGTTTGGTGTTCATTATCAGATTTTTTATGTCAGCGCAAATTATATTTGAAAAAACATTAAATTTAACACTTTTTTATTTTTTAAAATTATTTCCCTGATGTGTACAGGGTGGGCAAATAAGCGAGGTAAGCGGCTGTATCTCAGAAACTAATGATCGTAGAGAGCTACGGTAAAAAATTTTATAGGTAAAGTGGGCAAGGGAAAATGCTGGAAATTATTTTCAAGTTTCCAAGATGGCCGCCAGTGGGCGTTTCCACCATCTTGAATTACATAAAGTTACGTTTCTCGCGATTTTCCCCAATGAATGTAACAAAAAAGTATTTGCGTTTTAATGTTAACTTAAAGTCGAATATTTTTTGTAAAAACAATTTTTCTCTATCTTTCGAAATAAAGTGGTGGGGGGTATTTGAATGTTGTTTTAAATAAATGCCTGTAACTTCGAAACGGCTTAATGGATTTGGATAAATTTGGTATCATTGAAAAGAGCATTTCTTGGGCTTTTAGGTTTCTCGTAATCATGACAGTTGCGACCTACACGGCCGCCGATAGAGGGCGTTATTCGATATTATAACCAAAATATTGGATTTTCTCAAAAAATTTAAATGCGATGATATGACTTTTTTTAGACTAGAAAATAGACAAATGACCAACCAATAAGCCTGCGCAAACCGCATCTTAATATCTTTTTCCTAACTCAAATTATTAAAAAAAATACTAAACCAGGAAAATTCATATATCCCCATTTAAAAATGCATCGGTTGCTTTCGATAAGAAGGCAAGTAGTAGGCCATGGAAATAAAAGACAAACTCCTCTCTAAAATATTCACAAGAAATGTCAGTTTATTTAGTGCTGTGATTTTAAGTCGCACGTTTTCGTATTTATAAGCGATTTTCCTTTTAAATAAAGTTGTGGTCCTGAAAAGGACCGATTTTGAAAAAAGATTAATGCCTTCTGTGTTCAAATTGCCTTCCGTCATATTCCACACATTGTTCCAGTCTTTCTTGAGTCGACAGAACCGCAGCCTCGATTTCTACCGCTGATAGTTGACGAATTGAGTTTCGAATTCTGTTTTCCATATCCATTCGTGTTGTTGGTGGAGTTTGAAAAACAATGTCTTTTAAGCGTCCCCACAAGTAAAAATCAAGACATGTCAAGTCCGGAGATCTTGCCGGCCAAGGAAATAGGCTTCCCCTTCCTATCCAGCGTTCTCGAAAGGTCCCGTTAATATGGTTTCGGACATTAATTGAATAATGTGCCGGACAACCATCTAATTGCAGAAACATAGTTCTCCTAGTTTCGAGTGGCACATCTTCCAACAAAATTGGCAAGTCGTTGATCAAAAACTCTAAGAAGCGGTTACCAGTTAAAGCTTGATCAAAAAAATAAGGTCCAATAATTCTGTCCCCAATGATACCGCACCACACATTTAGGCTCCAGCGTCCCTGGTGCTGCACTTCTCTTAACCAATGCGGATTTTCAGCGGACCAATAATGCATATTATGACGGTTTACTCTACCATCACTACTAAAGGTAGCCTCGTCGGTCCAGAGAATTTCCGTTAAGAAATTTCTGTTTTCCTCAAGCATGCCTAGCATCCATTGACAATAATTTAATCTATTATCGAAATCTTGTTCATTTAGCGCCTGGTGCAAAACTATGTGGTAAGGATGTAATCTAAAAGTAAAAAACAACATATGCGTAAAAATAATATAATCAGAATAACACTGAATTGTGTATTTGAGAGTATGTGCTAAGATACTTGGAATAAGATAAAATTATTTACCTATAATCTTTCAAAATATTTCTAACAGTTGTTCGTGCTATTCCCAAGTCTAGAGACAATGTTCTAGTTCCTACATGTCTATCAAATTCTATGTAAGCCAAGACATTGATAATGTTTTCTTCGGTCCTTCCATTGCGACGCCTGCGACGTTTAGGACGACGAAAACTTCCAGTATCGCGTAATCGCTGTACCAAGCGCGGAAACATTCTTCTCCCGTAATGACGGCGATCTGGATACCGTGCCGCGTACTGTCTTGCAGCTATAGCTGCATTTTGAAAACACTCGAAATAAATCGCAATCATGTCAACGGCTTCATTATTTGTGAGAGGCATTTTGATTAAAAAGTACTCAAATTATACGCAATCAACAATATTAGGCTGCGTGTGACAAAAGTTTGACGTTACTTGGCAATATTTTTGTTAGGCGATTGTCGTGTCCATGGCCTACTACTTGCCTTCTTATCGAAAGCAACCGATGCATTTTTAAATGGGGATATATGAATTTTCCTGGTTTAGTATTTTTTTAAATAATTTGAGTTAGGAAAAAGATATTAAGATGCGGTTTGCGCAGGCTTATTGGTTGGTCATTTGTCTATTTTCTAGTCTAAAAAAAGTCATATCATCGCATTTAAATTTTTTGAGAAAATCCAATATTTTGGTTATAATATCGAATAACGCCCTCTATCGGCGGCCGTGTAGGTCGCAACTGTCATGATTACGAGAAACCTAAAAGCCCAAGAAATGCTCTTTTCAATGATACCAAATTTATCCAAATCCATTAAGCCGTTTCGAAGTTACAGGCATTTATTTAAAACAACATTCAAATACCCCCCACCACTTTATTTCGAAAGATAGAGAAAAATTGTTTTTACAAAAAATATTCGACTTTAAGTTAACATTAAAACGCAAATACTTTTTTGTTACATTCATTGGGGAAAATCGCGAGAAACGTAACTTTATGTAATTCAATATGGTGGAAACGCCCACTGGCGGCCATCTTGGAAACTTGAAAATAATTTCCAGCATTTTCCCTTGCCCACTTTACCTATAAAATTTTTTACCGTACCTCTCTACGATCACTAGTTTCTGAGATACAGCCGCTTACCTCGCTTATTTGCCCACCCTGTACAGTGTGTCCGAGATAAAAAGGACAGACAAACCTAGAGGCTTCATTTTTTCAATTTTTTATACTTTTTAAGAAAGAAGCAAATCACTGTTCGAGTCATCTCAACGAATTTTGTGTTTACTTTGACAATTTTTGTAATTCCTATTTAAATATAAGTAGTTCCTAATATTTGAACAGTGATAAGAACTATAAATAACTCTTTTGTCAAACATAAGATCTAACTCCCGAATCTTTTTTCATACCTTATTTGTTAAATTCGTTGATAAAACAATTTTCTTTTAAATATAATTGAAGTCTTTATCTGTCGCAATATTTCAGCGTCTTGATTGATTTGTTCCGCTATAAACCTAGGTTAGGATCTGAAACTAGATATCATATTAAAAGATAAGATAAACTTTGTAACTGTTTCATTAAATCAAAAATGATATACTTAAGTGTAGTTATCAATTTATATTTAATCAAAATTATTAAACGTTAAAGATTTTATCACGAGATAGTACCAAATACATAAATACTATATTTATTAATTTTTAGATATAATGCCAATTTAAATGAATTTTCACATTTGTTTCCAAACTGTACCACTAGACAGCACCAGTTTCACGGCAGGTATAACTAAATCCAGCAAAAAAGAAGAAAAAAGAAGCATCCTGAAACTTGAAGGTTCTAGTTTTGATATCTTGATATAAAATTTTTTGAGCAGCAAGGCAATTTTTTTTTCAAAACTGCCCACGAATATTTCAAATATTCAAATGTTGAAATTTAAAAGAAAATTTTGATTATTTTTTTTATTTCAAAATATTCAAAAAATTATACTGAATTATTTTCTGTTCAGTTTTGATGTGATTTTTTTCTTCGCATGCTGTATTTCATTGGGTTAAAATTAATTGCATAAATTTAAGTTGATACCCCCAAGTGAATCTTCATGCATTTTTTTACACGCATTGCTATACGATTTATTGATCCATTTTTTTCTAAAGTTACCTTTAAATAATTTTTTTTAAATTCAAATTTTCTTTAATAAAATTTTAAATTTTATTAACAATTTTTTTTCGACATTTGATAAGTATTAAATGTAGAATTGCGACAAAAATAACGCAAAAGATTTTGAAAAATTTGATTTTTTTTTTCAAAATTTTGAATTAATTTTTTTTTCGGTATTTGATGAGTATTTAAAGCGAAATTATGAGAAAAATAACGCAAAAATTTTTTTATTCATCTTAATCATGATTAATTGATGAAGAAGCTGCTCTTTTAATTTTTTATAAAACTTTGACGATTCTGGAAAGGAAAACGGCTCTGCCTATCAATTTAAAAATTCCTTATGGGCCTTATGTCCTTATGGGCATGTATTGAACTTAAAAAAAACCTACAAACATTTGTACTTTTCGCAATATTTGCATAGTAGTCGTCGATTTTCCAAAACAGCAGAAAGTTTTTTTTTTCTTAAATTTGACTAACAAATTTTTTTTTCGACATTTGACAAGTACTAAATCTGAAATTACGACAAAAATAATCCAAAAAATTTTGTAAATTTTGATTTATTTTTCAAAATTTTGAATTAATTTTTTATTTCGATATTTGATGAGTATTTAACGCGAAATTGTGAGAAAAATAACGCAAACAATTTTTTTCATCTTAATCACGGTTAATTGATGTTTAAAGAGCAATAAAGCTGCTCTTTTAATATTTTATAAAACTTTGACGATTAGGGAAAGGAAAACGGTTATACCGATCGATTTCAAAATTTACAGGCCTTATGCTCATAAGGTATTGAGCTTAAAAAAACCCTACAAACATTTGTACTTTTCGCAATATTCGCAAAGTAGTCGTCGATTTTCCAAATCAGCAGAAAAAGTCGTTTTTCTTCAGACGTCATATAAATGACAATTATAATACTATGAATTCAATTTTAATAATGAACATTTTATTTTTTTATATTTATTATTAATATTTATAGTAACTGAAGATTTGCTTCATTTAAGAATCCTCCACTTCTTGCGATATCAGTACTCATGATAATATTTCTAGGATCAATTGTTCCACATTCTCCGCAGACCTCGGTTGAAGAATTCTCTTAGCAATATTTATCTTGCTTTACTAAAAGATTTATCCCCCAAGACGGTATAAGTTTTATTCCTATTAGTTTTAGTGTTAGGAATTTTAATTAGTAGCAAAGATCCCATGTCTCCAATATCATCAATTGTCATCTTCACTAGTTCGTCGCAACGACATGCCTCAGATATACCAAATTTCAAAATTACCTGAAAAAATAAGAATTGGGTAGCACAATATGACACAAACAAATAGTTATTTATACCATAAAGGAGGTAAGTATTATTTACCAGCAATAGAGTCCGAGACTGGTAAATTATACTTAACTGCTGCGTGGTGTATAACATTTTATCTGCTCCCACAGTTCATTATGGTTCATGAAATAAAGATTAGGTTTTATTTTTGACATTTCTTAATCAATTCATATTGAAATTATTCGAAATCTTGCAAAGTCGCATGGGTTGTTTGGATTTTGTCGTTTCTAAGATATTTATAAACAAAGCTACATAAAAGTTGCAATTTTGCTGGTTCTGCATTATTATTTCTAAATGAGTGATTTTCAAATAGATAGTGCACCAAATGTTGCCTGCGAATTTTTATTGCCCCGAAAGTCGAAAGTGCGCTACTCGAGCACATCACACGAAATTTCAAAGAATGGTGCCAGAAAATACTGGTGTTTATATACACCTAAAAAGTCAAACGTTTTTACAAGAGAACAAGTCAACGATTTTCTCGTTCAGGCACCGGATAACAAGTATTTGCTAATGAAGGTAGTAACGGTCTTAGGCATTGCAGAAGCATGTCGTTCTGATGTGTTATGCAAACTGACTTTGGACAATATCAATTTCAAAAAGTTTGATGACGTTATTGTAATTACAATTCCAGATTCTAAAAATGGTATGTCACGTACGTTTACAATTATTTCTCGTCTGGGTTCTGTTTCTCACCTAGAAATTCTCAAGAAATATAATCAAGATTAGATTGGAAATTAAAACTGAAATTTCACGCTTTTTTATGCACTATCAGGCAGGTAGATGTTACAACCAACCAGTCGGCAAGAATACCTTTTCTATGATTCCTAATAAGATTGCACAGTTTTTGAAAGTAGAACATCCTGAAACATATACAGGCCATTCATTCCGAAGAACATCGGCGACGTTACTGGCTAATACATGAGTTGATGCATTAGAAATCAAAAGACATGGTGGGTGGAAATCAGCCACAATTGCAGAAAGTTATGTTGCTGACAGTTTAAGTAACGAAAATGAAATAACCAACACGATTCACTTCATCTCAGGTTCTAGTAATCTAGTAGTACGTCGCATCATGCTGTTTTAATGGATCAGTCAGATAATATTGAGCCTCCGGTAACTGAAATGGAGCGGTCAAATCATTTTGAGAAAAATGTGACAATTAGTAAACGCGAGAGCAATAATTATCCAGATTTTATAAATGTTACTAAATGTAATAACTGTACAATTACTACAAATATTCATTCATAATAATAATTAATAAAAAGTAATGTTCGTCAAATATTTCTATTTAGGTATTTGTTCATAAAATATGCATTTATAACTCGAAATCGCTTTTTTCCTTAGGGAGGTAAGATACTTCGCTTACGTTCCATTGGCCAGATACTTTTCATCTGAAGCATCAGACAAAAATGTATGGAACTGTTCCCTTAACAAGACTCCCGATTTCTTTGGTTAATAACCCTCTAGTCACTAAAAGAATTTGGCAATTTTTCTGTTCCCTTAATTTGTTCGCTGAGTGTACTTGGTGAAGACTTATTGGCAACGCTTTTTTTCAATATCTACTAATCTGTATCATATTTGATATATGTTTTGGGCTGTTGATGATTCTTATTTATACAGCGTTAAAACCAAACCTGTTTCGTGGAAACTACTTTTGTATTTATTTAAAAAAATATTTTGGGAACTAAAAATAGTTAAGGAAATTATATTACAATAACGAAGTAAAAAAAATATCAGTTTATGTTTCACCTTCATTTCTTTTCAGGATGATTTCGTGCTTAGTTACAACTTTGTTGAACGCGCTAGGCGTAGTGGCAGCTCTGCTGGCCGTAGTCTACGCTTACTTCAAGTGGACCTACCAGTACTGGAAGAGCAAAAATGTGCCTCACGTCGAACCCACCATACCTTTCGGTAACACAGGCAATCCTTTCACCCAACCAAGAGGCCAAAATATTGCTAATATGTACCACATGGCTAAAGAAAAAGGTGGGTGAATCACAAAACCACTCTCCGAAAATTTACGGGGTTTCCAGAATAATGTGCTACACATTTTGGGGGTAGTAGATTATTAAAAAAAGAGCTACCTATGAGTTTATATTCTTTTTCAAGATGCTGGAGCGTTAAAACTAAATCAGCCCCAAATCCAAACTTTACAACAAGTATAAACAAAATTAGAGAAATATACGGTTGTTGTTGCCACTGTAGATTCGCAATTAGAAATAAACGTGACAATTAACAATTAACATAAAGCATAGGACGCCACACTTATGTTTTGGCTATACTTACTACAGCAAATTTTATCTTTAGGTTGGAAGTACTGTGGACTGTACACGCTATTGTCTCCCATCTTCTTGGTAGTAGACATAGACTTAGTTAAGACCATTCTAACGAAAGACTTCCAGTATTTCACAGACAGAGGACAATACACAAACGAGAAAGATGATCCCGTGGGTAAGATAGATCCCTGCCAGAAAAATTACCAGAGTTTTAATAATGAATAACCCTTTTTGCAGGATGCCACCTATTCGCTCTTGGTGGTTCCAAATGGAGGAACATGAGAACAAAATTAACGCCCACTTTCACGTCTGGTAAGCTGAAGGCGATGTTCCAGACGCTGGTGGACTGCGGATTGGTTCTTGAGGAGTACATTGAAGAAAATATTAAACCGGAAGAATCAGTGGACATCAAGGAGGTTTTGGGTAGGCATTTTTTTCTATTAACGTGCTATGCATTCTATGTCCTCGTGTTCTACAAAACAGACAGGATTATTTATTCTCTTTCAGGTCGTAGTCTTCCCTTCTTCCTCTATTTTTCCTCCTTTATGTTGACTTTTATGTGGTTTAATTCCTGACATCTATAACATTTTACTGTCCTTAACTCTTTCCCTGACCATAGTCCGTATCCATCCCATTCTTTTATCTCTTTTTCTATGCTAAACTATCCTTCTCTTCCACTGCTACTTCTACTGTAGCTTTTTGAGTTCCTCCACATGTCAATTTAATCGATGCTACCTTGAAGTACCTATTCTTCCTTTAGATCCCCTTCTTTCCAAAGAACTTCATCAACCTCTTTTTTTGTGCAGGTCTCATCCGTAGACTGTTTCTTATAACCTTATAACTCTGACATCAACTGTTCTCATCCTTGCTTCCTTATCCACTCCCGTTAACACTGCTTTAGGTTTCGTGCGTTCTTCTTTTAATTCTCTAACGTCTCCAGTTTCTCAAGCCACCTCATTAATCTCCAAATCCAAATTCCTTCAAAGTGAATCTCTCTGAACCAACTCCTGGACATTCTTAGTCACAATTGGCAACGTTAAGATTACTAGTTGCTTCCTTAATCTCAGTCTTGGTGTTACGTTCATTTGCATACTCTAAAATTATGCCACACTTTTTATTTATTTTTGTTGTTTGACGAACCGTAATGGTCAATTTCTCCTTCCCGCATCTCTACTTCGTGGTCGAAAAAACTAATATTGGGTGAGTTGGTGCCGATTGAGTCCTCTTCCCTTTCGAGCATGGCCAACCTCTTTAACCTCGTTTCAGGTGCTCTTACGAATCTATTAAGCACTACTTTAGGATTAGAATAATTCTCTCGGTTTTCACTCACCCCTTGCCACCCGCAGTATCCCGAGTACCAACATTGCCTTAATTAAGACAACAACGAAATACAACTTTTACTTACTTTCTAGCCTGTTTCTCCACCGACGTCATAGGGTCCTGCGCATTTGGCCTTGACTGTAACAGCTTTAAGGAGCCCAACTCGGCGTTTAGGCGCTATGGGAATACGATTTTCACCATCGACAAGCTGGTGGCCCTCAAAGTACTATTCTGTGGGACTTTTCCTACTCTTGCTCGTATGTTGGGAGTACGGCAAGTTTCAAGAGATACCGCAGACTTCTTCACCAAGGTAGTGGAGGATACTGTGTCGTATCGCGAGAAGAACAACGTGGTTAGAAAGGATTTCCTGCAGTTGCTTATGGATATCAGGAATACAAAGGATGGGCAGGAGAATGGGAACGGTGGTAAGCTCTTATGCAAACCTTGTAGTAAATAAATTGCTTTTCCTATAAACCAGGGATGCACAGACTTATAGGGAACAGGGGCCACTCGGGAAAAATATAAGGACGGGCCACTACAAACAATATTTATTGACACAATTTTTTTTATTTTTAAATAGTATGAAATACAATGATAAAAATAAAATAACCTTCAAAAATGTTTGTTGTAATAATTATGTAATCATTACAATGTAATATTTCATGTTTTATTATTTTGATGCATGACATTGCATTGAACTAACAAGTTTTTTTATATTTGGCTCCACATTACTTGTAGCCACACGTATAATTGCTTCCAAATTTTCATTTGCCAGACGGTTTCGGTTTTTCGTTTTGTTAAGTTTCATCACTGAAAACGTTTGTTCACAAATATACGTCGATCCAAATAAGCTTGCGCATTTCAATGCATTTATTCGCAACTCTTTATAAGCGTTTTTATCAACGCAACGGTAGAAGTTGAGTAAATTACCTTCATTAAATTTGTTTCTTAAATTATCATCATTTTGCATGTCTATTAATTCCAGCTGCATTAATTCCGGCGCATTTTCGGGTGAAATGTTGAAAGGATTGCTGAAAATGTCCAATAGCGGTTTAACTTTTTTGAAGTCTACAAAACGATTTTCAAAAGCTTGTATCAAAATATCAATTTTTTCAACATGAGCGAAATTGACGTCAGTTTTATTGAACTTCTCCTTAATTTTTTTTTGTAGTTCGGAAAATGGCCGTAATTGGCTGAATTGATTTGTGTCCTGAAAAGACTCAATTTGCATTGAAAGGACGAAACATGAAAGTATAGCTGCGAAATCAATTGATCTTTGCCTTGGAGTCGCGTATTTAAGACATTCAAGTGATTTGTGATGTCTACAAGAAACGCTAAGTCACACAGCCAATCAGGGTTGTCGAGTTCGGGGACGTCGTTTTTCTTTTCCGCCAGAAATAGTTGGATTTCTTCAATCAAGTTAAGAAATCGCTGTAGTGTCAACCCACGACTTAGCCACCTTACTTCAGTGTAAAACAGGAGATCACCATATTCGCTTTCAATATCCTCGAGAAATTGTTTGAATTGTCGGTGATTGAGACCTCGTGATTTTATAAAGTTTACGGTAGGTACTACAACTTTCATAACATTTTCAAATCCCAATAATTTTGAACAGAGGGCCTCTTGATGTATAATACAATGAAACTGCATTAATTCTTTGGTATTTATGTTTTTAGTTTGTAAATATGTTCTTAACAGTTACTATCCCAGATGTACTTCCAACCATTGAATGTGCTCCGTCAGTTGTAATTCCAGATATTTTCGTTAAATCCAAATCCATTATAGAACATTTTTCTAGAAGAGCTTTGAGCATGTCACTTCCCCTGGTTTGACTTGTCAAAGAACTCATACCAATCAGTTCTTCACTCACTTCAAAATTTTGCGTTACACCTCGTAAAAATATTAATAGTTGAGCAGTTGAACTTATATCTGTAGATTCGTCGAGCGCTATAGAAAAATACTCAAAACTTCTCGATTTCGTAGCTAATTGCTCTTCTATATTATCTGCTAATGCGGTAATTCTTCTTTGAACAGTCATCCGATTTAACTGAATTTTTTCAAACTTCTTTACATTTTCCGGACAAATTTTTTTTGCGGCGATATCCAAACATTGCTTAACAAACTCACCCTATTTAAAAGGCCGACAAGTTTTCGCTATTATTCGAGATATTTCAAAGCTAACTTCAGTGGCTGTTTCAGCATCTTGAATTGGTTTTGTAAACATAGATTGCTGGCCTATTAGTTTCCGCTGTAAAGTGGAAATTCTTTGCGTTCGATTTTCACCAGTTAATTTGGTAAAAGTTGGATGCTGGGTTTCATAGTGCCTTTTCACATTATATTCCTTCGGAATAGAAACACTACTCTTGCATATTAAACAGACAATTTTGTTATGCGATGAAATAAAAAAGTATTTTTCAGTCCAAATATGAAACTGTCGATTTTCATCTTCAACCTTACGACTACCTTTCTTACTAGGGCCTGGTTTATCCATATCAAAATTAATATTATATGTCACAGTCGGTAAAAGCCAAGTTCGAACGACGAAATATTTACGCGTCACAGATTACAGTTCTCAAATAGTATAACGTTGGCTTATCCGTAGTCAAAACTTAACTGCCCCGGTAGCCGGCGATGCGTCGTATTTATACAAGTTACCAAACATCGAAAACCATCCACTTTGTTCGGGGATCAACGTGTTTCGCGAATCTGTAATCTAGTTGATGCGACAGATTTCTAGTCTCGTAATAATATGCTTGGACCGGAGCGCGGCGAGTAGAATACTTTTAAAATTCGTTGGCGGGCCGCATAAACATCGACAGCGGGCCGCGGTATGTGCATTCCTGCTATAAACGCACATACTTTTCTAATGCACTTGCCAAACTACCGTTGAAAGAAATAAAAATAAGAACGCGTTATAAAAAATGTATAGCTAAAAACAGAATGCAAACAGAAGAAAACCATGCTCTTTTGTTGAGAAAGAAACGGTTCGGTTGGAAAATTTGTAGAATCTAATTTAATCAAAGTCAAAATTGTCAGTCAAACAGCAATTTAAGCAAGCTATGAAGTTTTGGAAAAAATTTTTCGATTTTTCAAGATGTTGCACAGCCTCAAATAAAGCTGCTTGAAAATTTTTTTCACATAGAAAAGACCGCTCATCCTTTCAAATAGTTTTTGAAAAGTTGAAATCGGTTGATTAGGACGGCACAGTAAATTTTTAAAGTTAACACTTTTTTTTATTTTTAAACAATTAGATTATATTTATCAATTTGCAATCCAGTTTTTTTCAAAAATTATAATTTTAAGGTACTATTTTTTCTTAATTTTATCTGTATTTAACAAAAAAATAAATTTCCAAATAATTTTTTTAAAGATTTGTTTAAATAAAAATCCTCTACTTTAGTTTTCTTCGAATTAAAAAAAAAATCGTTGTAAGTTGATTAGAAGCTGAGATAATTTTTTTTTATTTATTTACTCGCAGTGACCTTAATTATTAATATTAAGAGCCGAAATTTAGAAAGAGTATACATTAAAAGCTATATTTTCATGTCCTACATTAACATTAAGGTGAATTCAACTATTTAATTTCGAAAAAGAAGATAACGGCGATGCGTTCTATTACTTAGTCTAACGAACGAATGGGGAAGACGAGGCTTAGCATGCGCGCTTAACGATGTAATAAATATTAAAATTTTTTCAGTCATTTTTAAACAAATTAAATTTGAAAAATTAAATTATCAGTAAATGCATATGTCAATACAACTATTTAGGTACAAAAACAACTAATGATCGAAACCTTACAACGCCTGTGAGCTTGGGAAAAATGAATTGAAAATAGCATCTTCTTACATAACAAATTCCGCCAACGATTTACCACTTATTAAGGGTGCAAAAACGCCTCAAAAATCGTGAATTACAAGTATCTGCGATGAAAATTGCATTAATTATTAGCAATTGAAAAAAGCGGACAATTTCGACCATTTTTGAGCTCTTGCGCATAAACAAATTATCGAAATTTAATCGGACTTGTCTTATTTTACAGATTTATTTAATACCTACCTTTTTTGTATAAACCTTTTTTCTCTATGAATAACAGTTTTTTTACGCGAGTCAAAAAACCACTTTTCCATAATTTTGACCATTGTTTTAACAAAGTTTCCCAACTAGTCTCGAGTTGATTTTTTGATATTTTGTTTATAACACGTTTCTGAACAATATTCCGCAGAGAAACTTCTAATAGTATTTTTTCCCGAAAAAAAGCTATAATGACTGGCCTAAAAGCTTTTTTCCTCTTCAATATTCTTCCAAAATGCATAGATTTCAAGATATAAGTAAAAAACTCAGACAAAATAGGTATTTTTTAAAATTTTTTAAACATTTTTGCAATTTTGAAAATGTTCCGGACCTCGCCCAGATCTAGGGATCTACACTTTTATTATGCGAGTTGTACTGAAGGTAATCCAGAAAAAAATTGCTTGCCCCCTCTCACATCCACCTCAAAACAGATCCGCTGTGGTCTACTACCACAATTTGACTTTATAATTTCAGCAGGTGATGGCAACTCTTTGACGCTGAACGAAATGGTGGCGCAAAGTTTCGTATTCTTCGTAGCAGGCTTCGAAACCAGCTCCACCACCATGACTTTCGCCCTATTCGAGTTGGCCACGAACCCAGACATGCAGGAGAGACTCAGGGATGAAATCAATGAAGTTCTGGCCAGGCACGAAGGCAAGGTCACCTACGATTCGCTGAGCGAGATGAAGTACCTGGGACAAGTTATAGATGGTACGTATTAACAAAAAAACACTAACTTTTTATTCACTCCTTATACATATTTTCACTCATTTCAGAGACTCTGAGGGTTCATTCGCCAGCCCGGCTTTTGCGTAGAGTTTGCAACACCGACTACAAGGTGCCTGGGGAAGATCTGGTCATAGAAAAAGGTACCAGCGTAATCGTTTCCGTAAGAGGCATACATTACGACGAGGAGTTTTGGGAGAATCCTAAAGAATTCGACCCAGAGCGGTTCAGCGAGGAGAAGAAGAAGAACATGAACCAGTACACTCACTTGCCTTTTGGTCAAGGCCCCAGGATGTGTATCGGTAAGGTGTTACTCTAAGAATTAATTAATGTGTAGAAAAAATTGACCAAAGTCAAAAGTGCTGTAGGTGGTTGGTACTTTCTGTGAAATTATTTTTTCTTGTTAATGAATATTAACTTTAATCGCACTGACGATGTCCAATAAGCAATAAATTGTAACGTATATACAGGGTGTTCCACCTAAGGGGGATTCTGCTCTAACTCTGTAACTGTCAAATTTACAAAAAAAATGGTTTTAATATCTCTATTTCTCTATCTTGTCATCTGTGAGCAAAACGTGTACGTTATTCAGACTCGGAAATACTGAGACCTACATTTTATAATCTTACGAGTTGAAAAACTTTTTTTTTTCAAATGGAATGACCCTTATTAATTGTCATGATTGAATACCCTCCCGACTGATATAAGGTTGTCCATACTTATCTCTAACAGTTTTCCAGAAAAATCAGGTTCTTTTCTCCGAAAAAGCTATGTAACAGCGTCAAGAAGGCCTTGCAATTGTATTAGTACAACGTCGATATATTGGATTTTACAAAAGCACAGCACATCACATTCTTATCGCATCGAATTACACCAAGAGTTACTAAAAGTAGACTTTCAGCGGATTCTGGAGTTTTATCAGTGAGCACTTGGGATGTTAAATCAAGATGATGATTTTCTTAAACGGGTCATGTTTTCCCATGAGACCACTTTTCATGAAAATGTGTTAGGTTTATTTCTTACTGTACTCTGTACACACACAAAAACAACGTTTTACTTTTTGCCTCGCTTTATTTTCGCTCACACTCTTATAACATCATAAACAACATAACCATATATTCTTCTTCTTCTCCTTGTATATATTTTTTGACCTACTATCTAACGAGCGGTCAAATAAAAACGTGGTCGAAGTTGGCTCTGACACATTGGACGTAGGGAGTAGCTTATAGCGACCAACTTAACCTCATTTCTCAACGAGCTGTATAGCAGCTGTGAGTTTCAATAACGTTAATGACTATATAACTTTATTTTAAAGAATAATCGTGATAACAATAACAAACAATTAAAGGAGCTGCGGAAAGTGTCCCCCTCCTTGTTATAACAATAAATTAAAGCAGCTGCTGAAAGTGTCCCCCTCCTTGTTCCAAGCACTTTTCACACCTGTTCCTCAAAGAACTAAAGACATTTTCTAAGATGCTCGGGGTATTGTTAATTTCACGAATCTTGTCTATAAGTCGAGCCTGCAGATGGTTTAAATCAGGAATAGGCAGTTCAAAAATAGTGTTTAAGGTAAGGCCACAAAAAGAAATCACACGGCGTAATATCACATGACCTCGGTGGAAATTCATGTTCAGCATTGAGACTTATTAGTCGATTTTGGAAAACTTCCCTCAACATATTCATCGTCTCGCCTGCCGTATGTGCCCTTGCGCCATCTTGTTGAAAGTAAAAGTTTGTAATTTCGTTTTCTTCCAGCTGGTTAACAAAAAGAGCGATAATTTCTTCTCTATACCTTTGCGCAGTAAGAGTACCATTAAAGAAAATAGGTCCATAAATCCTCCTTCGATTGAGAGCACACCAAACTCCAATTTTTTGAGCGTGTAGAGGGCCCTCGACAAAAAAGTTATCTGGTTTTTCAGAAGACCACATTCTCATATTCTGTGAGTTTACGTAACCACTTAAATGAAACCAGGCTTCATCAGAAAAAAAGGTGATATTATGAAGTTCACCGTAGTTGTTTAAAAACCATTCACAAAATACAGCCCGTCGCGGAAAAACAACTTCATGAAGTTCTGGCTGACAAGTTAAACGATAGGAGAACAAACGCAAATCTTTTTTTAACACTGTGTGGCAGGTACCGACTGATACTCCCACCATTTGTGATAAAACACGTACAGAAGTTCTTGGCGCATTTTCCATTATTTGTTGTACATTTTCTTTTAATTCTTCAGTCCGCTTTTTAGGTCGGCCGCTTCCTTCTTTTCTTGTTACACTGCCCGTTTCACGAAAAACATTAACACAACGCTGAACTGCACTTTGAAAAATTTTGTACTCAACAACGCCGGGAAATTGATTTTGAAATTCTATGAAACATTCCTCAATAGAATACTTCCATATTCCATCAATCTTGCGTCCATTTCTAAAGTAGGACTCTATGATAAACACTTTTTGTTCTTGAGAAAACACCATTTTAAACGCTTTTTAAAACGAAAATATTCAAATTGATAGCGGCGATATAGCGCTTTGACAGATGACGTTTAAGTTCATTTGCTATACGCTACGCCCTACGTCCAAATTTTCAGAACCAACTTGACCACGTTTTTATTTGAACGCTCGTTACAAACAAAAAATAAATAATTGCCTACAAATGGTTTAGTTAATAGTCATAATTGCCATTGTTATGACACAGTAAATCCTCACCAATTCCGGACAACTCATAGCCAACGATGGTTTTTGAACGTGTGGAGGGGCAATTTTGGCAACCCATGTCATTGGACCATTCTTTTTTGACCAGCATCTAACTGGAGCAGTTTATTTAAACTTTTTAACAAACACTCTAGAAGATTTGTTAGGCGACATTCCTTTAGCTACACTTCGAAGAATGTGGATGCAACATGATGGTGCTCCACCTCACGATATCGCTGCGGTTCGTCAGTTTTTACACGAAACTTTTCCCAACAGATGGATTGGGTGTGGGGGACCAGTGACTTGGCCTTCAAGTAGCACTTCAAGAAATTACGCCAGACATGCTGACCAATGTTGAACAGTCTTTTAAGGACTGAATTCGTTTGTGTATTAATCAAAATGTAGGACACTTCGAGCAATTGATGTAAATCAGCGGCCTAAGTATTCTTTTCCTTGTTGTGTTCCGAGTTTCAGTTTGTTTCGTTTTGCGTTTTGTTTTAGTTGGTAGTGGTTTACTTTTGTTTGTCAAACCACTTCTTAAACATGCCAGTAAGTATTGACACTGTCAGTTCCAGGCCTGATAAATTGTGAGAGAAAAGTGGTTTTGCAAGGCCTTCTTGACGCTGTTACATAGCTTCTATTTCGGACTTTAGAAAAGAACCTGATCTTTCTGGAAAACTGTTAAAGACAAGTATGGACAATCTTATACCAGTCGAAAGGGCATTCAATTTTGCATTTACCCATGACAATTAATATGGGTCATTTCATTTGAAAAAAAAAAAAGTTTTTCAACTCATAAATTATTAAATGGTGGTCTTAGTATTTCCGAGTCTGAATAAGGTACACGTTTTGCTCACAGATCACAAGATAGAGTAATTTATGCCAAAACGAACTGTGAAAACTGTAGGATTTTAACTTTTGCAGTTTAGACTCTATCTAGCCTCATTTAGAGAACTGAAATTGTGATTTTTTTCAAAAACAACTGAATATCTCGAAAACGGTAAGTTTTAAACACCATGTACATTTAACAAACTCTACCTAATTTTAACCAAGGAATTCAAAAATGCAGTAATATACAGGGTGTTTCATTTAAAATAACAAAGTTATGTAGCGCCCACGCGAAGTGTAACACCCTGTAAAGCTAAAAATATTTTCTTTACATTACCCACATGATTCCAGGCAACTTTTATTAAAATCATTTTTTTTATAAATTTTACAGTTGCAGAGTTACAGAAGAATCCCCCTTAGGTGGAACACCCTGTATAATTGAGAATGACGACCTTCTAATTAACCCATCCTAACCTAACACAGTGATAAGCAGTGTGTAATTGTAATAGGTTGCCGAATTGCTTATTTATTTCAGGTATTCAGTAATTAGTCATCACTACAAGGTTATTAATGTAAGACGAAACTTTTTACGCCCTCATTGAACCACTGCGATGAAGGTGGTATCATTTGTCACACATATCTACCCCGAAAACGTTCTACATACAAGCTAATTTCGTCTTGTTTCACCTTAAAATAGAACAATGAGAATTAATTTTGCATTGCTATACCCATATGCCATTTTGAATACTTAAAACTGATGTAAACAATAATCCACGGTAATAAGAGCACTCTGAAAACCCCAGTAATAGTGAATAAATAAGCATTTGCAATATTAAATCGGCTAGAGCTTTTTGGATGAGCACACAAAAAACTTGAGATACATTAAAAAAACAGGATGGTCATCTAGCCAGAATTTATTTTTATCTAAAAAACAGTAAGTACTAACAAATCCAAATTGGGTATGTCTTAACTATTCACTACAACCATCAGTGGCGTAATATAGTTTTTGGGTAACTTGAGAGCCAACTTACACAATTTTTGCAAATCTCAGAATCCTTCCTTGTTTTCCTTTCGTTATCAAGAAACTCAATTGCTGTATAATCTATTGACAATTGAATTTCATCAAGGGTGATAACTGAACTTATGTCCATGAAGGTAGTTATTTTCTTAAATCTATGAATGTACTTTATACGCAAATTGCTGTGTCACTTTTGTGGTACCTACTAAGACCTAATATTTCAGGAGAAAGATTCGGCGTGATGCAAACCAAGGTAGGTCTGACATGCCTTTTGAGGAAGTTCAGGGTGAAGCTGGATAAGAAGACGAAACTGCCACTGAAGATGTCATCAAGAACCCTTGTCAACTCCGCGGAAGGTGGCATTTGGTTGAATCTGGAAAAAATATAGGCTTCCATATTATTAAATATTCGGGCTTTGTTTATAATACGAAAAAATTTGTTATAAATATGTGAATTATATTAATTTTAAGTTTCAGTATGTTTCTTTTCTAAAACCTTGGCTTAGCTTTGAAGAAATCTTCCTGAATCAAATTTCCCGAACTAGTAAAAAATGTGTACCTTCGACTTTACATGGTGTCGCATGTATAATCTATAAAAATTAAACTACACCTTCCTAACGATATTTGTAATAGAAAAGTTTTATACGAAAAAGTTCTACTTCTGCTAGTTGCCAACTGCGTGCACTAAACAAACTCTATTAAAATATGGAACAAACTGAAATAAAACTTACCATTTCTAGAGAAAATGTTGCAATTGATCCCCATTTGGATACAGGCATGGTACCAACGCACCCAATTTTGGCGAATATTTTCCCAAACTCCGGGTATTCCCCTAATTGTGTCAGCAGCTTCAAGTATACGGTTTCGCAATTATTCCACCGTAGCAATTGCAAAATCACATTCGTTGATCACAATCCGGGGGTAAAATCTGTTGAACTGGTTGCAGATGATAGGGGTGCAACAGCTGGCGCTTAAGATACGATGTATGGTACGAGATGAGGTTCCTATTTGCTATGCGAGTCGTCGAGTACTAATTGTGGGGTTTTCGTCGAGATTTTCCAACACTGCATCTTCAATATGCTGACTACGTCCTTCTCCTCGAGGAATAACACTTCCCGTATCTCGCAGTCGCTGAGCGCACTGTAGGATTGTATATGCACATGGGGGGGTGACGTTGTGGCCATCGTTCCCGGTACAACCTAGTCGCCGCGAGCGCAATTTCTCCGGCTGCACCATACACTAACACCATATAGACACGTTCGGAAATAGTAAACGCATTGTTTTTTCGGTTCATTGTTAAACTAGTTTGCGCACAAACTAAAAAATTAAGCAAAGTAAGAAATAAGAATCTCGTTTTTAATGTAATCGGCACGCTATTCTTATTTTTTACTTCTTTATAAAAATTACACTGTCACTATCGTGGAATTACAAAATAAAAACTTTTGTCTGGAATCTTTCACTTTTTAACACTGATGGGTCGATGGACGATGCTTAATATTTAATAATTAAGTGAATAATGAATTCAATACAAATACAAAATCAGTTGACTGCACAAATTTTTTGACAATGTAACCTAACCTTCTTTTAGTATTACTAGTATTAGATTATACCGACTTAAATTATAAGGTTGCATCTCGGGTCGCATAAAAACATTTCCAAAGTTTTTAATAAATGACACAGGGTCGGCCTTCGTTTTCGTTGAATAAATGAACTTTGGTTTACAAAAAAACGCGAAGATAGAACTTTTTCGTATATGAGTTTTCTATTATAAATATCATCAGGAAGCTGTAGTTTAATTGTTATAGATTATACACGACACACCCTGTATACAGGGTGTTCAAAAATAAGAGAATGCTTGATCGGTTATTGCCAGGGTCGAAGTAAGGCTATTTAGTTTTACTAAAATAATCTGTATTATTGTAACAATTTTCCTTGTTATTGTTACAATATCACATGCAAAATTTAATAAAAATTATTTATTGTTTGATAACACAATTTTACTTCTTTAAGTCGACGTTTTACTAGAAAAGAGGGCACCTTCTTACTGTGAATAGATATATTTTTTCTAGAATCTCTCTAGTAACAGTCCAAATCTCTCAATTGGCTTCGGTTTTCGAGATATTCTAACCTAAAAGTGTCAAAATTGCGATTTTTTTGACATATTTGAGGTTATGTGCATGGAAAGATAATTTTTTTTGCTAAAACCATTAATGGGGTCTTAAAGCACCATAGTTACTCCTACCCACAAGCATGTAAAGCCTTAACTGAGTTTCCAGACTTGAGGTTTAGGGTTATAGGTTTGTGGGTTTATAGGCTCACTGATTTAAGAGTTAAGAGTTTATATGCTTGAGAGATTATGAGTTTAGAGTTTATAGGTTTGGAGTTTATAGGTTAAGGGTTATGGGTTGGGTTTATGGCTTATAGTCCATGCATTCTGTCACGGGTTAATGTTAAATTTGCAGAAATTATTACCTGGACAAAAAAAATATGACCGTATAGAAAATTAAATTTTAAATTGAGTTTCTTGTTCTTTAAACTCGATCCAATATGGCGAACATGGTTACAAAAAATCGCAAAGTTGAAAAAACGGTTTTTCTAAAATAACTAAAAAAATATAGTACGGATTGAAAAATTTTAAATGAGAAAGTTGTAGGTTTTAAAAAGATCTATAGACTGATTTTTTGAAAGTATCGATTGCTTTGTTACTTTTCGAGATATATCGAAAAAACCGTTAAAAATCTTCTCATTTCTCTTCTTCTATAACTCGTTTACATTTACGTGCCCATATTTGCTATTTACTGCAAGCATAGCCCGCGGCAAGCCAAAAAAGTACATTTTTGAAAAATTAAAAAATATTAATTATTTTTCGAGATATATCGATTTTTTGAAAAAAAGGCGCTCTCGAAAATTGGCTAGATCTTCTCAGCGGATAGCCCTACAGTAACGATTTTCGGTTTATTTTCTTCGTAAAGAGTTATATTATCATGCTGTTAAAAAATGTTGACGATTTTATTAATTTTAAGGATCAAAAAATGACTGAAAAAGTTGCACTTTTTTTGGGTATGTTTTTTTCAAATAACTATTTCAATTTTTATTATTTTTTTGTACTTAATCTGGGGTAGCTAAATACGAATATTATAGCATTTTCGCCTTAGAAGCAGAATAGACCCGTAAATGTTTAGTTTTCTTTCTTTAAAAGTCATTTTCATAAAATAAAAATTGAAATAGTAATTTGAAAAAAACATACCCAAAAAAGTGCAACTTATTCAAAGTCATTTTTTGATCCTTAAAATTAATAAAATCGTCAACATTTTTTAACAGCATGATAATATAACTCTTTACGAAGAAAATAAACCGAAAATCGTTACTGTAGGGCTATCCGCTGAGAAGATCTAGCCAATTTTCGAGAGCGCCTTTTTTTCAAAAAATCGATATATCTCGAAAAATAATTAATATTTTTAAATTTTTCAAAAATGTACTTTTTTGGCTTGCCGCGGGCTATGCTTGCAGTAAATAGCAAATATGGGCACGTAAATGTAAACGAGTTATAGAAGAAGAGAAAAGAGAAGATTTTTAACGGTTTTTTCGATATATCTCGAAAAGTAACAAAGCAATCGATACTTTCAAAAAATCAGTCGATAGATCTTTTTAAAACCTACAACTTTCTCATTTAAAATTTTTCAATCCGTGCTATATTTTTTTAGTTATTTTAGAAAAACCGTTTTTTTCAACTTTGCGATTTTTTTTAACCATGTTCGCCATATTGGATCGAGTTTAAAGAACAAAAAACTCAACTTAAAATTTAATTATCTATACGGTCATATTTTTTTTGTCCAGGTAATAATTTCTGTAAGCATTTCTCTATAATGCTTGGACTATTATGAGTTCGATATTGAGCCTATTAGCCTCTTTTGCGTGTAAATGTATGTCCAGATTGAAAATGCGGAAAATATAGGCCATATATCGACTTTTTAGATATATTTTTAAGTTTATCCTTCAAAAAAGTACATTCTGGTTTCTGAGTTAAAGGGTCGGCCAAATTTTGTCGGCCTGTGTTATAATTAACTCATTTGTTAATAGTTTTAAGCATTCTGCCAGGTGTAATCATGTGTAACTTGTACAATTGTCTAAAACCCTTGCCATAAATTCACTTGAAATACGTATAAAATGTCCTCCCCTTAAAGGGATACAGGACATCATAAACATTGCAATATTAACGCTTTATATCTTTTCTAACAGTTCCAAAACTGTTACAACTGGGTTTGAGGGTTACATATGTTTGTCATGATGACTTTTATTTCGAATAGAATACGAACTAACGTATTAAAAATGATCCCTGGGATTTGTATAAATTAAACAAGTTACACATTTTCTGATAAGAAATATAATTAATTGCGAATACTGTTTTCCATCGTGTTCTGTAGAGACGATCCATTAAAAAATTGGTGAGTATTAAACAAAAATATTTTACTTGTTTAGATAATGTAGAAATATGAAATGCGTATTGTTTCAAAGATGGGCAATTGCGCAATATCGAAAAGTCGCCGCATTTCGGATATTTTTTGTGCGCAACTTAATTTGCTCCTGATTGGATCTGCTCTTTTCCGAATCTTCTGGCTCGCATAGTCTTTACCTCTACGATCAGCTGGTTGAGCCGGGATGCTCCGAGACGAGAAAATTCAGTGCGCGTAATCCTTTAGAACACCTACCTTTGGATTTTTATACAGTATGTTGCAAATAATAGGAATGCATTAATTATTTCTTAAATCGGGGACCTCCAACAAAACTCCTGTAGCAGATCAATTTTTATTTTTAAAAGTACGTTCTGCGAGATATTTGTTTTACATATGACGTCATCTGTGAGCCAGTGATGAAGTCATCGAAGTTTTTTAAATACAAATGTGAGTCATGCGTTAGCTCTTTTGGTCTTGTAAATTCTTTAGTAAACCATATCAATACGTTTAAGCACAGACAATATAGCTTATCGCCTCAGACCGCACTTCAAATGCTGGAAATTGGCAACCTAAAAAGGATGCAAGGTCTTAGCGGTGGCTTTGTTGACAAATAATAACTGCCAAACAAATTTAATGCATGTAATTATGTAAAGAGATATAGAACTTATCTTTTGTTTGGAAATGACATTTGTAGAAATGCTAAATAAAATAAATCAAGTTAGAATTAAAGCTATGAATAATTTACCTAATTAATTATTTATTTCAAAAAAATTAAAAAATGTAAAATTTCCTTGAGAATAGTACCATAATTTTTTATTTAATAAAATTGTTAGAACCTAAGGGTGGTTGATACGAAATTTATTAAATAAAAAACAACAAATCATCAATCAATGAGGGATAAGATAATGCGTTCGCTATTGCTGTTGCAATTATTGACAAACTTTTTTGTTTTTCGACAGACGGGCTTCCGACCTTTTCAATTAAACGCAGAACGGATAATCGCAACCTAGGGTCGCACCATTTCCGAGTTATAAGACCTTTTTTACTATATTACCTCATACATGTCTTGTTCTTTTGCATTTAACGCAGAAGGGACATATGGGATTTTTTCAAGTATTTTTTCGATTCAACGCACCGTTTCCGAGTTATAAACCCTTTTTTATTCTATGATGTCACACACCGTTGGTCCCGATTTTTTTTTTCGACGTCCGGACTTTGGACGTTTTTCACTCACATCACCAATCAGAACCATGGGAGATTTTTTGATATTTCGAGTCATTTCCGAGGGACAAGCAAAAATGTTAATTTAAAAAAGTTACAATGGGTTATTCTGATGACGAAAAATAAAACATAATTAAACTGTATTATTCAAATAACAATAATGTGCAAAAGTTCTTCATGAATATCGGTAAATTTATTCTGAATGACAAACACAGTAAAAAATATTATTAGAAACCTTAGATAGCCAGAGAACAGCCTCGATCTCAGTCTTTTATACATATTCTTGTAGGGATACTTCAACAAAATATATTATTAAAGACCTCAAAATTTATAAGTATTGAAAGAAAAAATACAGGTTTAATAACTCTTTTTAAAGCAATAAATAAATTAAAGCATATTTTCAACTGTGTATCATCACAATTTTTTGCATGTTGAAAATTTGTAAAAATTGTAGGTATTGTTATTTCGTTTTTAGGTATTCTCCCTATGTGGTTGTAAAGGTTAGTTATAAAAATCGTTGTTTGTTATTTCAATGACGAATTTTAATTTTTTAGTGATTTTTTTACTTTAAACATATATTTTATGCGAGCAAATTTTGATATCAAAATAAATAAAGGAAAAGTCGTACATTTGTATTTAATTTTTTTTTTCTATCTTTAATTATTGAACCTATAAGTGGATGTCAAAATACAAAAAAAAACCTGTACCTACATCCCGCGACGTAATAATAACCCACCTTGTATATTAAATAAATTTATCATCATCAACTATTAAAAAAATATATATTACAAGCTGTTTAAAATATTAGTACGGATTTTGTTTATTTGGAAATATATTTTCTGCACCATTTCAATACCAAAAAATGAAAATAGTAGCTAGTTAACGAAATTATAATTAAATAACCTAACTGTAATACCGCTGCAGAATATCATATGAAACTACATACATATTCGTTGATTATTTAAAACATTTTTGTCAATATCTACCTACATCATACATTTATGTAAATACAGTAACACAAAAAGCAGATATTGATAAAATTTGTAAGTACAAAATAAATCCGTAAGTACGCCTGGCAACATTGCCAAAGTGTTGTTTATATGTTGCTAGGATATGCGTAGGAATGCGGGCCGCTGCATTTGATTCTTCCTAAAATTCTGCTGGTGGTGTACTTTATCGGCATTTCGGAAATTTAATACCGCTGGCCTATTTCTGTAGCGGTTTGGGGCGATAGCTAAATTGTCTGTAAACGCAGTAAACTCTTCTCGAACTTTGTCTATAACTTCCGGAGTTATTTGTGCCATCTTCATCCGAATGGGTTCTGTTAATGCATCTAGATTTCGTGGTCTATTTTGGTATGCTTTTTAAGTATTCCCGCGAAAAGAAATCTAGAGGTGTTAGATCTGGAGACCTAGGTGGCCATTCAATTGATCCTTCTCGCCATATCCACTTATCTCGAAAGATTTTATCCAAGTAGTTTCTTACGAATACAGCATAATGTAAAGGTGATCGTAATTAAGGCTTGATTCAATCAATTTTTGTTAATTTTAATGTGTTTTTATTATTAAAAAAAAGGTCCCCCACGCACCAAAGTCCTGCATCCAGGCGTATTTTATTTTTTTGCTGAAAAACTGTTACATTTACGAAAATAATAGAGGAGATCAAATTTAGTTCAAATAAATCAAGTTGTCTGAAACATTTTTTTAAATATCCGTGTTGGAGAGAGAAAAAGAATTGTGCAAGAATTTACCTGTGTGGGTGGTTACTTCTACCCCTTTCAACCGAAGATCACGAAATTATCCAATAAATTCCACTTCGGTAGTAGGAAAAGTGCACATAATTTATTTTTTGTAACTTTCTCCGTATTTAAAGAAAAAATAAAAAATATAAGGGGCATAAATACAGAGGGAAGGAGCGGAGAGATTTTTTTACGTGAAATTTTTTAACCAGAAACCATTTTCTTGTTTTTTACAATTTTACACCCTGTATACATATATCCTGCGTTTCGGTCACTGTGTCAAGTTTACCTTTTGTTTTATTTTGAATGTTCAGAAGCTGGAAAAGTTGTAATAGAATTTACCAAAACAATACAAAATCTTTAACAAAACAAAGAATTTTAAACAATACTATCTTGCTCTCTTTACAAAGTAAATATGTAATAAACATTTTTAGTTAAATATTTGTGGTGAAAAAATAGAACAGTTGTATTTAAAATGTTTAGTTCACTGCTTACTCATGGTTAAAATGAAAGTAAAATAAATCTCGAAAAAAGTCGCAACCATCTCAAAAAGACTAATCCATATAATGTCTTGCGTCCACACACTCTAACCAGTAGTATTAGGTTCAATTTTGTAATTTTTCTAATAATACCTAGTTGGTTAATCTATTATCAAGCTGTGTGCCGCTCTAAGCTCATGATACACATGATACTAACTACCATAAAAATACGTGCCACACACTCGACCAAGCAAAACGTGAGTTTGACTAACTCACACACGCACAAACGAGAATGCAGGCATTAGGTTGCTGCTAGATAAGTATAGAATAATTTGATCGATGTGAAGCTTCGGATCAAAGGCAGACATGTACTTGTTATTATACAATGACGAGAAAAGTGGGATTATTAAAATGTGAAGTTAATGTTTCGCCGGGCGGATTTATAAAATTTAAAGTCTGTTGTAAAGAGAATTGTAAGAGCTTTCAAAAGCAATATTACTCAACCCCCAATGCCATTTAAATATTTTGGGGTGATGTTTATCCCTTGCTTGGAGGTGAAAGTGGCGGAGTCAAAAATACCAGCAAAGAATGTCCCTCTTTATTCTAAAATCGACGGGTCTGAGCGTTTTTCTACAATCTTGACGCAGTTCCTGAAAATGGCTCTGTTTCGTTTTCATTTGGCCACCCTGTATGTATATTCTAATGTATATGTAAAGAGTGCAGTTATAAGAAGGCAAAGGTTGTGTACCTGTACCATATTGCAGCCACCCTAACATTTCTAATCTCTAAGAATGGTACATAGAGCAATTTGTTTTCATTATTGTTTAATAATCTTGACAAAACTACAGATATTTCATAAATATTGGGGATTGTAGTTAGTTTGACGCGATGGATTCAAATGCTTTCATAATTTTGCTGTTACTAATCATCAGTATCCGGCATTTACAGAAGATCTCGTATTGATAGCAAGCAATAGAACAGAATAAAAAGAGGTAAAAAAAATATATAAAAGTTAATCGAACAGTATAAATAAAAAATTTACTCAAAACGTTTTGAGGGGGCTAGCCTTCCCTGCCTCCATTGAAAAGTCACAATTGAGAGATATAGGGAGAAACATGTCTGGAAGACAACTTCTTGGATTAGTAGGTTATTTGTAAGTAATTGTATTCGGCTCCTGCTAATTACCGGGCTACCACCTATATAGCGTCGAGCTCCTACCCTAGCTGCTTTCTTTGGGCTAATACCCTCAAATGTTAAGCCAAGTTACAGATAACTCACAAATTAATGAAAAAACTATTTTAAATTTGGCGAAAAAGAACTAACTTCACGGATCCCATTCAAGATCACAAACAAAAGATATTTTCAACTTTTTTTCTTTAATTTTATTTTCAGTACAATGTCCTACCTGGTATCAGCTTCGTTGAACTTAGTAGGCGTAGTAATAGCCCTGTTGGCCGTAGCTTACGCCTATTTCAAATGGACCTATCAGTATTGGAAGAACAAGAATGTGCCCCACATCGAACCCAAAATACCCTTCGGGAACTTGAGCAACCCGTTCACTACGAATACGGGCGAAAGTATTGTTCGGTTGTACAAGACGGCGAAAAATAAAGGTATGTAATGCTAAGGAGTGCTATAAATCAACAATAATATAGTCCGTACGATATTTGTTGAGATACAAGACCCCAGCGTTACTTCCTTGGAGTTAACCGCAGTCGATACCCGAGGTAGAAAGACATTGGCGGAAAATTTGAAGGCAGTAGTTCCCATGATTTTCTTGGAATTCTATCTAAACGTATCTTATGGTCTCTATTATAGGTTCAAAAAATTATAGAGTATTTACCCAAGTCATGTTTAAGTGGATTTAGTTGATGCCATTGCATTACACAATCGGAAAAAAGTTTTATAATAACAAAACATTTACTTATTTCGCAATATTTTGCTACTTTCCTGTTAGCAATGGATTAAAAAGTATAAATAAATAAGAAAAAACAAAATTTGAATTCCAAATTTTAGTAGCACTTGTCCCTATTTTTCAGTAGTTCTTGAATCCTCGGTTGTACTTTCTTTCTTAATAGTAGTTTCAATCGACTTATTGTTACCAAAACTGGAACCTTTTCCGGATCTGTAACAAGGGTAGAAACCATCACACCCAAGGAATCCTTAGAACTCCAGATGTCAACTGGCATCATTGAGTGTTCAACTACTCTCTATGCTCCCGGACTCTAAAGATACGAATGCAACCACATCACAGATCGAGGAAAAAATTCTTAGCACTGTCCAAAAACAACGTACGTACGTAAATTTTGAAAAGTCTACACGAAAATTAACTATGTCCATATTACATTCATCATCTACAAGCGATGTCTCCAGAAGACCATCCACTATTTTTGTGTGCCGTTACTGAAACGGACTAACGAAAATGAAAATTTCTTTACAAAATGTTTGTCGATACAAGGCAACATTAACATAGAAGAAAATTACTTCCATAATAGTCGTATATTGTTCATAGAAAACATTCTAGAGATTCGAGTCCAGATCGTATCCTATACCAACATTCCATTCTGCCACATAGATAACTAGTATCTACAATTTTTTAACGAAATGATTTGCTCGACGTTTTGGAGAATGTAGCATCTAATGTTCGACAGGATATATAGTTTTTGAATTATGATGCCCAGGGCACAACAGATTTTAGTTTAAAACTCCGGGAATGTATGAGTCAACTTTGTTATTGCAATAAATGGAATAACATTCCTGGTATGTGTAACCCGATCAATTATTTCTTTACCATCCTTACAAACAAAACCGTAACGACATCAATTTGGGAAAGAGAGCTAATAAATTACACAGCTACACAAAAAAAAATTGTTTCATGCGACGTATGTTATCTGTAGTATTTTTGCCTCCTGATCACGAATCCGGTGTCAGAATTGAGCTATCATATCACAGGAATTTCCTATCCTCAAAAAAACAGGTCAAAAATAGCAAAAATTCATGAAAAAGTGCTAGGAAAATGAAGAATTGATTATTCTTTTTCTAACCTTAAAAAAAAATTAGCGCCAAATTTGGTAATCACGAATTAGAGATCAAATTTATAAAATTCATTTTTAAAAATTTAATCAATTAGTTATGTACAGGGCGATTCACTATATTTTGAGCCCCCTTTAACTTTTTTGTTTTAAGAGTTATAAAAAAATGTGAAACATAAAAGTTGCACGATTTTTTATGATTTTTTCGAAAATGACAGTACAAAAACAAATGAAGTCCAAACAAAATGGCCGCGGATGTTAACTTTGTTAAGTTAAATGGAACACCCTGTATATTTTTACATAATTGGATAGAACATTCCCTGTCGAGCATAGCCATTTAGGGTTTGTTGGGTCCATCTGTAACAATAAGCAAGATAAGCTTTAAAAAAACGAAAAGAAGTTTTTTTATTAAGAAAATAATCCATCTTGTAATTGTTAGACCACTTTCAGGCATTTCTGCTTTTTTTTATTACTATAATATTTCAATTTTCTACTTCTGTTTAACCATTTTAATTAAATAATAACACAAACTGTCAAACAATAACACTGATGTCATGGCATTACCTGTCACTGTCACGGCCTACCATATCACATTGTCCATGAGTAATTAGGCGTCTCACGGCCCAATTAGTGAGATTTCTTTAAAATACCTATACGCATTTTGGACCATATCAATGTCTGATCTGTCAAAATATATAAAATATATTATAACTAATTCTGTATATCCTTACGTAATTGGAAAAAGGCAGAAATGCCTGAAAAATGTTTAACAATTACAAGATGTCTTATTTTCTTAATAAAAAACCTTATTTTTGTTTTTTAATAGTATCTCGCTTATTGTTAGCGATGGACCCAACAAACCCTACATGACTATGCTCTACAGGGAACGTTCTATCCAAATATGTAAAAATATACAGGGTGTTCCATTTAACTTAACAAAGTTAACATCCGCGGCCATTTTGTTTCGACTTCATTTGTTTTTCTACTATCATTTTCGAAAANACGCATTTTGGACCATATCAATGTCTGATCTGTCAAAATATATAAAATATATTATAACTAAATCTGTATATCCTTACGTAATTGGAAAAAGGCAGAAATGCTTGAAAAATGTTTAACAATTACAAGATGTCTTATTTTCTTAATAAAGAACCTTATTCTGGTTTTTTAATAGTATATCGCTTATTGTTAGCGATGGACCCAACAAACCCTACATGACTATGCTCGACAGGGAACGTTCTATCCAAATATGTAAAAATATACAGGGTGTTCCATTTAACTTAACAAAGTTAACATCCGCGGCCATTTTGTTTCGACTTCATTTGTTTTTCTATTACCATTTTCGAAAAATTCATAAAAACTCGTGCAACTTTTATATTTCACATTTTTTTATAACTTTCCAAAAAAAAGTTAAAGGGGGGTGGGTCCAAGATATAGTGAATCACCCTGTACTTTATTACCTGAGATTAGGCAGAAAACCTGTGAATAGATCTTTTACAGAAAAAAGAACAAGGTATAACCGAAAAAAGAAGGTTAAAAAATGATTGGGTACTCGAGTTATAAAGTAAATAAAAAATGAATTTCGCATTCTGACCTCGATTTCGTGGTCAGTAGAGTTCGGGACTCGGTCGGATGATCATAACCGTCGCGTCGGCCTTTCACTACAGCGCATCGTACGAAACCGGTAATAACGGTAGTTATTGGCTTCTCGTTTGCTTCGCGTATGCGTGTTTTAATATTCTAATAATGTCGAACGCACCAAGGGGTAAAAAACGACCCTTTGCTGATAAAGTACGAAAAATTATATATTTTTATTTATACCTGATTATTTATTTGTTTACGATAAACACGCCTATGACTAGCCGACGAAAACCCCGAACTCTAGTGACCAGCGACCCCGAAAACTCCCGTATACCAAATTTGGCGCGAATCTGTTATTTTTTGAAAATTTTGTCGGCCATATTATTATTATTATTACTATTATTATCTGACTTTAATTGACCCGTTTTTTTGAGGTTAGAAAAAGAACCATCAATTCTTCATTTTTCCTTGTACTTTTTCGTAAATTTTTGCTATCTTTGATCTGTTTTTTGAGGTTAGGAAATTCCTGTGATGTGATAGCTCAATTCTGACACCGGATTCGTGATCAGGAGGCAAAAATACTACGAAAATCATATGTCGCATGAAAAGTACAGACAACTTTTTTTTGTGTGTGGCTGTGTACACTTTAATTTACACATTAATTATGATACGTGGGCACTTAGAAATGTTGTACGTTCAGAGAATGAAATTCAGGCACTTACCATTATTTGGCACAAGCATGGGTTAAATGTATATTATGTTCATAACGGAGAACAGCGTTCGCTTAATCAAATGTGTTTATCAACGTAGTAGGCCTTCGCCTTTTATACAGGGTGTCCCGAAAATGGTGGGCAATCTCTCAGATATGGATAGATAATGAGAAAATAATGTCACAAGTTCATATAAAATTTTTTCCTCCGGGCTCACCCTGTAGAGTTATTAGCTCTTGAAGTTGAGAATTAAAAATGGTTTTTTTTCTGTAACTTTTGTATTTTTCAATAAATTTTGAAAATTTTTTGGCTGTATCTATAATTTTCGAAGCTGCTTTGGATGATAATATGAAATCACCGATAATAATTATGGGGGCCCGGGGGCAAAGCAACCCCCACCAAAATTTCTAGAAAAAAAATTTTTGTTCCACTATACCTTAAATTTTCCACCATTTTAAAAAAATTTATGGTATTTTACGTAAAAAATGTATACTTGTTGAATATCCATAAAATAGATATTTTTTTAGATAAACCCGTTTAAAGAGGAAGGTATTTAATTTGAGACATTTTATTTAATTGAAACACAGATTTAATCGTAGTTGGCTTTTACATATCAGAATAAAGGACAAATAATTTGCAATAGCAGTGTTCCAAATTATGAGAATTTGGACTTAACTAAACTAACTAAACGAAAAGTGCATGACAATCAAAATTTTGTAACTAATATAATTCATAATAAATTCTCAATATTAGTTCCACCTTCTCTTATACAAATACGAGCTCGTTTAACAGAAGACTGTTGCACTCTCCATAACATTTCAGGATTTTGTCGTATTTCATTTGCACAATAAAAAATCCTTTCTTCTAATTCTTCTCTAGTGGTTACAGGTGTGGAATAAACAAGATTTTTCAAGTGCCCCCAAAAGAAAAAGTCAAGTGGGTTCATATCTGGAGTTCGGGCAGGCCAATGAATAGGTCCACCGCGACCTATCCAGCGATTAGGATATACCTCGTTTAAATGGTCCCTTACTGCAGCACTAAAGTGAGGCGGCGCCCCATCGTGCATGAATATCAGTGCATTTCTGGTTTCAAGATCAACATCTTCTAACAGTTGTGGTAATTGATGCACAAGGAAATCTAGGTAACGTTGACCATTCAGTCTAGGGGGTAACACAAATGGACCCAATAAGTAAGGACCAATAATTCCACTCCAAACATTAACATAAAATTGTCTTTGGTGCCTAGTTTCAATAATAGCGTGTGGGTTCTCATCAGACCAATAATGTAAATTATGGGAGTTAATAACTCCATTCCTCCCAAAACTTGCTTCGTCAGTATACAGAATTAATCTCGTAAACATAGGATTTTGCTCATGTCTCTGAAGAAACCATTGAGAAAACTGTACTCTTGCACGAAAATCATCAGGATTAAGAGCATGCACTTTTTGGATATGGTAAGGGTGAAGAAGCTGTTCTCTAAGGATTCTTGCAACAGTGGTCTTTGGAACATTGGTAAAAGAAGATAATGACCTAATGCTAACTGTTGGATGAGCAGCAACTTCGTCCAGTATATTTTCCTCTACTTCAACTGTACGTGCTGTTCGCGGGGCACCCCTGTTTGCAGTAACAGGAGCAAACTGACCTAAAGACATTAAAATTTATTTAATATCCATTTTGTTTAATAATAGTAATCGTATTTTACCAGTTTCTCTTAATCTTTGATCAATACGTTCGAAAGTTTTGCGATCCGGAATCCTTCTATTAGGATAAGAATGCTGATAAAATCTTCTTGCTGCCGAAGCATTACAAAGAGCCCGCCCGTACATTAAATGCATATCAGCATATTCTTCATTGGAATACTCCATATTTTATAACAAATTATGAGTTATGAGATGAGTCTTAGATTTAAAACTACGTATTTGACAAGTTTGACAATTTAATTGCCTTTGGCATACTCTGACATGTCAAAGCCAACCACGATTAAATCTGTGTTTCAATTAAATAAAATGTCTCAAATTAAATGGTACCTTCCTCTTTAAACGGGTTTATCTCAAAAAATATCTATTTTATGGATATTCAACAAGTATACCTTTTTTACGTAAAATACCATAAATTTTTATAAAATGATGGAAAATTTGGGGTATAGTGGAACAAAAATTTTTTTTCTAGAAATTTTGGTGGGGGGTGCTTTGCCCCCGGGCCCCCATAATTATTATCGAGGATTTCATATTATCATCCAAAGCAGCTTCAAAAATTATAGATCCAGCCAAAAAATGTTCAAAATTTATTGAAAAATATAAAAGTTACAGCAAAAAAAACTATTTTTAATTCTCAACTTCAAGAGCTAATAACTCTACAGGGTGAGCCCGGAGGAAAAAATTTTATATGAACTTGTGACATTATTTTCTCATTATCTATCCATATCCGAGAGATTGCCTACCATTTCCGGGGCACCCTGTATATTAACTTCTTTACAGAAAGGACGAAATATACATATTCAGCTTTTTGGTAACCTTGTTCTAAACAAAAAAACCTATTGGAATGATGACGAAATTTATGTGTTGATCTGCAAAGATATCAAAACGACTAGTAAAATGTTAACAATTCACTTAATACTATTTTTATAGGTTTTAACTCAAAACATCTTTTCGTTTTAGGTTGGAAATACTGTGGAATATATATGTTGGTGGCCCCTCACTTATTGGTACTGGACCTGGACTTCATAAAGAACATTCTAACCAAGGATTTTCAATACTTTATGGACAGGGGAATTTTCGCAAGCGATAAAGACGATCCTATCGGTAAGATAGACCTCTGTTAAAAAGATTCGTTTGTTATTGATAAACCAATCATTTTTGCAGGTAGCAATCTGTTGTTCCTAACCGGCACAAGATGGAGGAACCTCAGGGCCAAATTGACGCCTACATTCACCTCTGGCAAGCTGAAGGCGATGTTCCAGACTCTGGTGGATTGTGGTCTGGTCCTTGAGAACCACATTGAGGAAAATATCAAGCCGGAAGAGCCTGTAGACATCAAGGAGATTCTATGTACGTAATAATGCTCTACAAATGAAAAAAAATGAACATTTAGAACTGTCGTCGACATTTTGTTTTCAGCTTGCTTCTCCACCGACGTCATAGGTTCCTGCGCATTTGGACTTGACTGTAACAGCTTCAAGGAACCAAATTCAGCCTTCCGACGTTTCGGAAACAAAATTGTGACCGTTTCTAAGCTGAGAGCCGTCAAGGCGATGTTCCGTCAGAATTTTCCCAAGGTAGCCCGATTTTTGGGGTTACGTCAAGGCTCAAAAGATACCGTAGACTTCTTTAGCAATGTGGTGAGAAACACCGTGTCGTATCGCGAAAAAAACAATGTCGTCAGGAAGGATTTTCTTCAGTTGCTTATGGATATCAGGAATACAAAAGAGGGACAGGAAAATAGCCACAGCGGTGAGCGACAGTCACTTCGACATTTTAAAATAGGCGGTATAGTAGTATAGTATATAGTGTACCGCAGAGCGATAATAGAGTCCTTCCCTCCTCTTTTTTAACGCACCGAAGTGTCGAGCTCTTTGATTCACGGCTTAAAAAAAATCGGCTTTTTTCGAGACGCCTTAGAAGTTTTAAGCTTAAAATATTCAACATTGAATATACAGGGTGTGGCGCGTATAATCTGTAAAAATTAAAATACAGTTTCCTAACGATATTTGTAATAAAAAAGTCTTATACGAAAAAGTTATATTTTTGCGTTTTTTTTTTTCATAAGTTAAAGTTCATTTATGGATCAAAATATTTTCTCTTATAATCTCCCTTGTGAGAAAAATGCGTGATTGAGGAAAAATTTCCGGACATTAATTTAAGGACGTGGGGAATTCGGTAAGAAAATTTTACCAAAATTTATTTTAAAAATTTGACATGTTTCATTTTGAAACTTATTTCGCCAAAATAAAGTTGGCTTGACAGGTAGACATTGTTTTGTGGTGCATGACATTTTTTTCTTCTTAAACGTCACATAATCTAATCGCATTTCACGCATTTTTTTTAAATTCAAAAATGGCTCGTTTTGGAAATGAAAATTACGAAAACATAAAAACAACTCAACACGTTCCTTTCACTTTAGTAATAAATGAGACTGTTAATATTTGAATTCAAATATTTACCTTTGCAATACAATTCACTTAGTATTACTAAAATAGAAGGAAAGTAAGTTTTTGTAGGAAAGCGATGTCTATGGCAATATATCAATGATTCTTAAAAAATCATAACTGCAATCAAGTAGGCTTAGGCTTGTGATGTCAAAATCGTCTTCACTATACGTCACGTTGACAATAATTTTCTCTAGCTTCTAATTGTTTACAATTAAATCATGGCAGTGAACAACCAAGAAACTAATTTAAAACCATATAGTATATGTAATTCTTGCACCAAAATAGGGGACATTCTTATGTCTCATAAAAATTTAAAGTATTTGCCATATTTACTGAAAAAACTGGAATCAGTCCGCATCAAGAAAACCTTTTCGCAGCTATTCAAAAGATTTTGGAGGAAGATATCCCATCTTTTTTACGTAAAACCAGACATTTGATGGAAATGAAAAATGAAGGTAATAATTATGCTCCTCGTTACTCTCCGTTGCGAAGAGAAGAGTTCCAGCCAGAATTTCAAAAACATTTAGCGTTAATAGAAGAAATCTCGGAACAAATATTTGGTAAATAATTATTTCTATCTATTTATTATTTTAAAATAAATAAAAACATTACAAAGCATAGTTCTGGATAGGTACTGATTTTTGAACCATATGATAGCTGTCAAAAAAAAATTCCACTTATTAATTTTGTTTGCTTAGGAGGAAGAAAAATTCCGAAAAATTTGAAGGTTGCCATGGGCAACTGTCGAAATTACAGTATGTAATTGGCTTAAAATGACAGGTGTATAATTTTCTCTGGAACGGTCCTGTCCGTGTGCTGTGCGAAAAAAAAACTGCCATTTTCTTTTTAAAATAATTAATAGTAATTACTATCTTATATGCATTGTTGTTATTGCAGTAGTTCGCAAACAAAACCACATCCGTAAGCATCTGCAATTGCCAACTGCGTACACTACACAAACTCCATTAAAATATGGAAAATGAAATAAAATTTACCATTTCTAGAGAAAATGTTGAAATTAATCCCCATTAGCGCGGATACAGGCATGGCACCGACGCGACACACCCAATTATGGCGAATATTTTCCCAAATTCCAGGTACTCCCTTAATAGTGTCAGCAGCTTCAAGTATACGGTTTCGCAATTCTTCCACCGTAGCAATTGGAGTATAGTAAACCAATGACTTCAAGTGAATCCAAAGATAAAGTCCATTGGAGTTAGATCGGGTGACCGAGGTGGCCACGGCACAGGACTAAAGCGTCCAGTCCATCGTTGAGGAAACATTTCATACAAAAGTGTCGTTACTTCTCGAGTACTGTGTGGAGGAGCCCTATCTTGAAGATAAAACATGCGTGCCCCAACTGTAATGCCACATCGTCCAATACTTCAGGCAACCAATTTTCCAAAAAGTCAGTATATGTTGGTCCACTTAGTCGTCCTTCAAAGAAATAGGGACTTAAACGTACATCGCTTATTATGTCAGCCCAAACATTTACCGAAAACCGATGTTGAAAATGAGTTCCCCTAATCGCGTGAGGATTTTCATCGACCCATATGTGCATATTATGGAAATTCACTTTATCACGGGTAAATGCCGCCTCATCTGTTATACAAACATAAGTAGGAAAGTCTACTTGATTGGCACATTGCCGTAAAAACCATCTGCAAAAACGCATTCGTTGATCACAATCCGGGGGTAAAATCTGTTGAACTGGTTGCAAATGCTAGGGGTGCAACAGCTGGCGCTTTAAGATGCGATGTACAGTACGAGATGAGGTTCCTACTTGCTGTGCGAGTCGTCGAGTACTAATTGTGGGGTTTTCGTCGAGATTTTCCAACACTGCATCTTCAATATGCTGACTACGTCCTTCTCCTCGAGGAATAACACTTCCCATATCTCGCAGCCGCTGAACGCACTGTAGGATTGTACATGCACATGGGGGGGTGACGTTGTGGCCATCGTTCCCGGTACAACCTAGTCGCCGCGAGCGCATTTTCTCCGGCTGCACCATATCAACACGTTCGGAAATAGTAAATGCATTGTTTTCTCGGTTCATTGTAAAACTAGTTTGTGCACAAACTAAAAAATTAACCAAAATAAGAAATAAGAATCTCGTTTTTAATGTAATCGGCACGCTAACTTTATTTTTTACTTCTTTATAAAAATTACACTGTCACTATCGTGGAATTACAAAATAAAAACTTTTGTATGGAATCTTTCACTTTTTAACACTGATGGGTCGATGGACGATGCTTAATATTTAATAATTAAGTGAATAATGAATTCAATACAAATACAAAATCAGTTGACTGCAAAATTTTTTGACAATGTATGGTTGCATCTCGGGTCGCATAAAAACCATTTCCAAAGTGTTTAATAAATAACACAGGGTCAGCCTTCATTTTCGTTGAATAAATGAACTTTAATTTACAAAAAAAAAACGCGAAGATAGAACTTTTTCGCATAAGAGTTTTCCATTACAAATAGCATTAGGAAGCTGTAGTTTAATTTTTATAGATTATACACGTTACTCCCTCTATTTTAATATATTTCCTCCACATCTGGAGGATTACGTTTATCACTGTTGTCTTTATTCACCATTCCTTGTTGTATTTACTCACCTTGTATATTGTTCTAGTTCCAGGCGATGGCAACAATTTGACAATGAACGAAATCATCGCTCAGGGTTTCTTATTCTTCGTAGCAGGTTTTGAAACCAGCTCCACCACCATGACCTTCGCCCTATTCGAGTTGGCCACGAATCCAGACATACAGGAGAGAGTCAGGGAAGAGATCAAGGAAGTTTTGGCGAAGTACGAGGACCAGGTCACCTACGATTCGCTGAGTGAGATGAAGTACCTTGGACAAGTTATAGATGGTACGTAGAATAATTACACTACAGGATGTAAGAAGTTTGACTGCCATTACTTCAGCATGAGACAGAGTAATCATAAATGAACAAAAAAGTTGTATATTACAGGGGTGTAAGATTAACAGTTTTCAAAATACAGCGAGTATTAATATTGGGGAGTTTTATCACAACGTGACAACAGCGCTTAACCTAACGCTACACAGCTGGTACATACCGCGTGTGCACGCGGCAGACTTGTCCTATGGAAAAAATGTAAACAGCTATTATTGTTAAACATTTTAGTAAATTTCAAGATAATTGTTTTCCATTTTTAAAAAAAATTAAATAAAATGTATCGATTTTGTAGTACGAATATAGTGTTGTGCTTAAATTTTAGCTCGAATTTTAGTAATTATGAATCTCTTAAAACAGGAACTTAATTTTTAATCAAATTATGTATTTGAAAAATATGTAATTAAAGTACCCCAAAGATTTACGTCTCCTAAATAATCATACGTACTAAAAATTATTTAGGTGCTTATCAAAAAGCAAAATTCGGCAATTTTTAATAAAAGCACAAGTACAAAACCAACTATAACATATGCTCAAAATGTCCACCACCATTTTCGATGCACGCACGATACCTTTGAATCAAATTTTCACGTTCTCGCTGGAAAACACTCAGACACGGTCCAATTCCAGATACCAACTGAATTTCGTAATGCTGGACAGCTTAGTACCTCGTGTTATCCGCCGCGCCGTTGCCACATTGCTCGAAATGAATTTCCGCCCTATATTTCGAAAATGAAGCGTCTTTGGAAAAAGATGTATACTTGATTTTTTTCTTATTTTTTTATTAGGAATATTCTCCTTAAAGTTTGTCGACTTAATCCTGAAACACCCTGTATATATTTTTTAATTTTTAGTAACAGTTATAACAATTTCAATATTTTAATCGTTAATATTTATGATTTTTTATGACACTAAAACAATTTTTTTATGCCTTTCGATTGATTATTTAAAATAAGTTGTTTTCGAAACTTTATTTTACGACAAAGATAAAAAATCACGTTCGCTTTGTGAAATTGTTATAACTTTTTTATTAAAAATTAAAATATTTCTCTGAACATTTACATCTTACATTTTTTAGAGTAGATTGGAAAAAAATAGATATAAAATTCTTTCAGCTTTCGGCTTATAATTTTTTAACTCTGTTAATTTTAATATTACAAGAAAAAGTCAATAGACCATTTTTATGTAGAAATTTATGCTCTACAAACTTTTTTTTTCAGCTCTTACTTCTTTTGAGTTACCTTAAAAAACTCCTTTATTTATCTTTTTTCATCCCTGACCGGTGGTTAAAAAAAATACTGTCACTTATTGTTATTACTTACATATCTCAATCTAACTTATATAGAAAATTCAGGCAAGTTGGCGGAAATTGCGATTTAAAACTCCATTTAATTGAATTATACCCCAAGTAAGCAGTTTGAATACAACAAACACCTTATTTCTCATACTTTTAGACTGATAGTTTGTTTCTCCGAGTAAGTCAACCTATTAACTCTGAATTGCTACAAAAAATGTATCTATTCACCGTAAGAAGGTGCTATCTTGTTCCATTAAAGCATCGGCTTAAGGTAGTAAAATCGTGTTGGTAAAATAATTTTTATGAAGCTTGGCATGTGATATCGGAAAACTAATAAAAAACATTAATTATTACTTCAATCTACAGGGTGTTAGAAATTTGACTGCCTTAATATTAACAGACGATGACATTGAAATAAACAAAAAATACCTTATATGACATGGTTCCTAAACTCAACTATTTCCGAAAAAAAAATTATCAAAGTCTCCAACTTCATGTAATAACTTCTTTATACTTAGTTCTAAAAAATAATTAGCGTTGTAATAAATTTAAAATTCGATAAAATTCATGTCGAGCAATGTGACAACGTTGCGGCGGTTTATTAACACGAGGTACTAAGCTATCCACCAATACACAATTCAGTTGGTATCTGGATTCGACCATGTCGGACTGTTTTTTGCGTACCACTGTTTCCTTTTTTTAAGGTGTTTTCCAGCGAGTGCGCGAAAATTGGATTCGAATTTGTTGTGCGTGCAAGACTTCGATTCAATCTCAAATACTTCTTACTAATTGCAAGATCATGATTTCAGAGACCCTGAGGGTTCATCCACCAGCAGTGGCCCTGCAGCGGATCTGTTTGAAAGACTATAAGGTACCCGGTGAAGATTTGATCATAGAGAAAGGCACCAAACTGATCTTATCCGTAAAAGGCATACACTACGATGAAGAATACTGGGATAATCCAACCAAGTTTGATCCAGAAAGGTTCAGCGAGGATAGGAGGAAGCACAGGAACCAGTTCACCTATATGCCTTTCGGTCAAGGTCCTAGGAATTGTATTGGTGAGTATTAAGATATTTAATATAGCTTCGCTCCAAACAGTTACTGGAATAGGCCAGCAGTTGTAAATTTCCAAATTGCCGATAGAGTACACCACCAGCAGAATTTTAGGAAGAATCAAATGCAACGGCCGACATTCGTACGCGTATACTAGTAACAGATAAACAACAGTTTGGCAATGTTGTCACGAGTACGCACGAATTTGTACACTTTTTTATCAATGCCTATTTTCTGCGTAACTGTATTTACTTAGATGTACGATGTAGGTATTGATGAAGATGTTTTAAAGAATGAACGAATACCTAGAGGTATTCAACTTAGACTAACGGATATTCTGCAGCGGTGTCACAGTTAGGTTATTTAATCATAATTTCGTTAATTAGCTACTATTTCCGTTTTTTGGTATTGAAATACTGCAGAAAATATATTTCCAAATAAACAAAATTCGTAATGATATTTTGGACAGCTAGTAACATAATTTTTTTAATATTTGATGATTGAAATTTAAACATTTGAGGTTAATTAAATATCAGATTAAGAAAGCTTATAAGAAGTATCTAGAAAATGTCCAAAATTCAATTTCATACAATAGATGCACTAGAATACCCGACAAAATGAAAGATGGAAATCTTTGTTTAGATAATTCTCAAGATATAATCTTTATCGCTTCTACAAAAATTTTGTTTAAAGTGTTTTTATTCCGTCTACTTCTGAACTCAATGTCTCTAATAATAATTCACGTAAGAACTCGGTATTAATTAATTTTGAACCTATATCTGAATCTGAAATTTTATTACCTTCCAAAAAATTAAAAAATAAGATGACATCTGGCCCAGATAAATTACCCTCATCCATTCTAAAAGATAGTATATCTGTGTTCGTTGTTCCTTTAAAAATATTATTTAACTTATGCTTGAAGACAAATATATTTCGACTTGATTGGAAACAAAGGTGTACCAAATTTTTAAGAATGGCAACAAAGTGAATATTGGAAATTATCGTCCTATATCTATCCTTTCCAACTTTTCTAAAATTTTTGAAATTATACTTTATAGTCGTATAAACAATCTTATTAGGGGTCAGTTAGTGGCGGAACAGCACGGTTTTATGATGAACAGATCTACTGTTACAAATTTACTGTTACTTAATTTGTATCTGATAGTTTAGATAAAGGCGGTCAGGTAGAAACTATTTATACAGATTTTGCAAAAGGCATTTGACAGACTTGATCCTTTTAAAAAAACTCGTCGAATTTGGCTTTAACAGCAACGCGTTATCACTATTTAAATCATACTTAAATAATAGGGTCAGATTTGTTTCATATAATGGGTCTGTATCACCCAATTACTTTGCAACTTTAGGAGTTCCTCAGGTCTCAAACCTAGGGCCTGTATCATTTCTAATTTTTATTAATGACATTCGTCAAGTAGTTGACTGTAATAAGCTATTACTTGCTGATGATATGAAAATCTTTAGATCGATTTATGTATGCCCAGTTAATAACTTGACAACAAAGCCACCGCTAGAACTGCCTCCTAGCTCCAGCTAAAGAGACCCTGCATCCTTTTTGGTTTGCCAATTTCCAACACTTAACACTCGGTCTGGAGCAATAAGCTATATTGTCTGTGCTAAAAGATATACTGGATTTGTTGCACAATAGCACACAGGTGGTCACTCAAGAGTTTAGTACAAATCTGTTCCTACAATTTCTCTACAGCTGGTTATATACAGAGAGATCCAGAATTATTGAGGTGTTTGGAGATCGCAGCCTGTGCCTGTCTCTATCAGTACTACAAATTTTTATATGATAAAGAAACAGGATGCGTTCCCCAAACGCTTCAATCGTTCTGTATCATTTTTTAACTGTGTGGATTAGAATTCAACCTGGTTTCATTTTTAGGAGAGAGGTTCGGTCTGATGCAAGTGAGGGTGGGTCTGACCTGTCTGTTGAGGAAATTCAGGGTGAAACTGGATAAGAAAACCACACTACCTCTAAAGGCATCTACCAGTTCCATTGTCAACTCTGCTGAGGGCGGCATCTGGTTGAACTTGGAAAGGGTGTAGTCATTTATTCTAAAATATGTTAAACATCTTTTTTATCTTAATAAGCTGCTTCTGTTTAAAATGAAATGTATTAATATCAAATAACTAGCTTGCTGCTGTATTTTATTATCATGATTTTACCCCAACAGTTATCTTTCCCTGTAGTTCCATCCAATTTCAGTCAAATTCGTTATTTTTATTTAATGCTGAAAATTTGGCACGTTTCTTCACCGCTAATTTTGCAATGTAAAAAAATTTCACAAAAGCCTATCCTTGTGGCAAATTTGCTCAGGAACAAAATCCCTAAGCGAAAAACTGAAAAAAGAGCAATTATTTTTTTTATTTTGTTATAACAATATGACGCTCCACCTCTACAAATACACAAATTTAGGCTTTTATTCTGTGTATTTTTTACTTAACTTTAAGCCCATAAAATTTGAGTTAGGCCCGATTTTTGAAAAAAAAAACCTAATCGCCCGGACTAATAGGTAAGGACAAGGATGGTCGGAAAGACTAAATATCACTAGCCTTTGCCATTTCAGACACTTTTTTGCCTCTGAGCTCTTGGACTACAGGAATATACAGGGATGGCCAAAAGTTCGGAATAAAATTCATATTGTTTGAATGAGTTAATTTTTTTTAAAACGCCGAAACACGTTAATTGATTTTGATTTTTCACCATCTTTCGGTTATATAATAATTAATTTTTCTTCAACCCCCTAACCCCCAGCCACCCCTATTTTTTTTTCAAATGGAAACATAAGGCATGAGGGGGCTCGTTGAAAAGCTTATAGAAAACCGAATCCAGCCATACCAAATAAACAAGTTTTATTTTTTCAATAACAAGGTTTTTAGGGTTGTATAAAACACCTACTTAACAAGTGAAATAAAATTTAATTATCTTCAGTGTTATCCTCCATGAATTTGCACAGAATAAAATAAAGAATTTGAAACTGTACCTATCAC